CTGTCCACAAAGGCTGTGGCTTCACAGCCCACGTGACGGCTGGGAATTGGAACCATATCAACCTGTCCCCTCCCTCCACTCAGCAGCCTCTGGCCTGCTCCACATCCCTCGCCCGCCCTGCTACCCACCGTCGGGCCTTCAGCCTCTCTGCCCCCATCCTCTGGAACTCCATCCCACGGTCCCTTCCTCTCGCTCCCTCCCTGGCCTCCTTCAGGACCCATCTCAAGACCCTCCTCTTTGACCAGCCCTTCAGCCACCCTCCTACCCCTACCTTCCCTGTCCTTCACTCCTCCTGATCCTAACCCCCAGCTCGGGTCCAAAATCCGTGACTGTCCAGCGCCTTGGGACGTCCTCCTGACGTGAAAGGCGCTGCGTAAATGTGATGTGTTGTTGTTGTCCCAGGCTGAGTGCCAGCCCGCCCGCCTGTTCAGGATTACACAACCAGAGGCCTTCAAAGGCACAGAAGAAGACCATTCGGCCCACTGTGCCCAATCCTGGCTCAATCAGTGCCACTCAGACTCCTGCAGATCACTGCTTTTCGGATATCTGTGCAGATATCAAAGCTAATGTGAATTTGTTAACAATCCCAGGAAACAATTGCAAAAGAGAAGGGAGTTTTTCTCTCCCTGTGTCCCTGTGTCCTGACCAACGATTGCCCAGACAAAGTGCTCATTGCTTCATAGCTGTTTGCCACATCCATATTTACAGCCGGGAGAGGGTGGTGGTGGGGGGAGGGGAGGGGAGGGGAGTTGACCATAAATATGGTCGAATAGGAATCAAACCCAGGTCCTCTCACTTGCGAGGCGAGGGCCCTAACCACTGAGCGACAGGACTCCACAGGATTATATGAAGGTATACCGGACACAACAGGGATAGCGAAAGTAAACTCAGAACTCTCCGTACACAGCGCCAGAAATGGAGAGGGGAAGTTTTGACCAGACCCCAGGAAGTATTTCTGTACACAGAGCTGAGCAAAGGGTGGTTTTGGAAGCTGGTTCTTGTTGCAGAAAAGCAGCTTTCAGTTTCAGGCGGGCTCCTCACCTTCACATTAGCTTTCTTTACGTGTGAGACACTGCACAGCTCAACCAAGCCTGCGTTCAAGACGAGACACACGCTCTGATCCAAATAGCAGGCGGACAGGGTATTTATAACAGTGCAGTGGGCTGCTTCAACTCTCGCCTCACTTCGCTAAGCCTCGCCTCGCCAAGCCATGGTTTCCAGCTGAGGAAATGCTCCGTCAACACTTTCTCCTCCAGCCTCACTGCACCGGCTCCGCAATCAGTCCTCACACACCGCAACCTAGCACTGCCTCTGTGTGAGTGTGCGTGCGTCTCCCCAGTTCCAGCCCTCTTCCTCCATCCACCCCCTTCACCACCCCTGAAACCGGGTGAATCATTTATGGCAACAAATTGCTCTGACTCAGGATCCTCCACAATATATAGTTTGGGATACGACATGGCAAGTGACGGCCAGGAAGGTGGAACGTGAACTGGATGGACCGTAGTCTTTTTATAGTCTTAGAAAATTCTTACGTCCCTCCCCCACCCCCCTAACACCGCACCCCCCACCCTCCACACACCACCCGGATAAACAGCTCAAAGATTTCACAGAAGCCACAGGGAGGAGAGAGTGTGGGCTGGGCGGGTGACGTGGAATATGCCAGAGCTGCTGAGTGGTGGGAGCGAACGGGTTGATATGGGATTAGCAGCATTGCCAGACTCCGCCACTGCCTCAGCCCTCGGCTGCCGAAACCCTCACCACGCATTCGTCACCTCAAGGCTCGATTAGGGGAACTCCCTCCTCATCGGCCTTCCCACCTCTTCCCTTCACAATCTACAGATCATCCAGAACTCTGCAGCTCGTGTGCTCTCGGGCACCAGACTCCGTGACCCCATCACTCCCCCCCTCGCCCGACTCCACTGGCTCCCCATCCCCCAGAGGATTGAATTCACGATCCTCGTCCTCACCTTTAAGGCCATCCATGGCCTCGCCCCCTACTACCTCTCTGACCTGCTGACTCCCTACCAACCTGCCCACTCCCTCCGTTTATCGGGCTCCGGCTACTCCATGTCTCCCGCCCTACCATCGGTGACCGGGCTTTCAGCCACTCTGCCCCCACACTCTGGAACTCCATCCCACGGTCCCTTCGCCTCGCTTCCTCCCTCGCCTCCTTCAAGGCCGGCCTCAAGACCCTTCTCTTCGATCATGCCTTTGAACTCTATGCTCTGGGGGATGGGGAGCCAGTGGAGCCGGGCCAGGGTGGGGAACCTAGGAACAGGAGGCCATTCTGCCCTTCAACCTGCTCCACCAGTTTATTTTTAGGGCAGATTCCTTGAATCAGGCGTGGATTCTAGCGCTGCTAGAAATCACTCTCTAAACCTATGAATTCCTTCATTATTTTACATCTGAATCACATGTGATTCCACTCAAAGGAAACTAACCTCGGTCTCCAGCCTCTATCAAGTATAAACATCTCAACACACTTCACAGCAACTCACACGTAGAACTCGCACTCAATTTCAAGATCCTCACACTCATCTTCAAACCCTTCATGTCCTGCCCTCCCTCCCTCTCCGACCTGCTTGCCCGCCCAACCTACTACCCGCTGCCTCCGCTCGACTGGCTCCAGCCTCCGGTATGTCCCTTGTGCCCTCCATTCTACCATCGGTGGTCTCGCTTTCAGCCACTAACAGCCCAAAACCCTGGAACACTCTCCCCCTATCCCTCCACCTCGTCCCCTCTTTACCCATCTTCAGGTCGTGCCTGAAGCCCTTTCTCTTCGATCGTGCCTGCGGTCACCTCCCCCTCCTCCCGGCTCGGTGTCGCACTCCGCCAGCGTCAAGCGCTCTGGGACGGTGTCCTGAATGAGGGGCGCTGGGTTGTGATTGCGATGCTTGCACAACGCAGTTTGAGACGTCTCGAAGACGTGATAAGACGCTATATCAAATGCACGGATTATTATTATTATTATTATGTTAATAATAGCGTTGATGGAAAGCTTCTCTGTTGCGTGCGGTTTGAAGGACCTGAAACAGGAGCCAGCAGAGGCGGTAGCTTCTCTGCTCATTCTGCAAACTTCCCCTCCCTGTCTATCTGCACGGAGTCACGCTTCGGCTGGAGTGAGAGAGTGAGAGAGAGACTGGCAAATGGACACCCTACCCCTGGCCCAGAAACTGCCTGAGCCCAGAACGACACCCAATAGAACTCTTTAATCTTTATTTCCTTTCCAGATCGGATCACACCCTTATTCGCAGCTCACAATGCACCAACAATAGAAGAAAGAACTTGATCTTTATCATCTCACAGCATCTCACAAACACTTGCTGCCGATAGGGACTTGTTTTACCGGCAATTGCAGCAACTATTTGTCACGCACAACATGACACAAACAGCTGGGAATTAAACAAAAATTTTATCTGTCAGCCAGGAGAGAGAGAGAGACTCTTTTCCCTTTTCCCATAGGGCTGCAAGATGTTTAACGTCCACCTGAACAGGGCACAGACAGGAATCCGGTTTAATGTATTATCTGAAGGATGGCGTCTCTGACAACAATGATAATAATAATAATCCCTGCATTTGATATGGTACCTCATAATTTTGCCCACAAAATGCACAGTCAATCCACTTTACAGTGTATTCTGTGAAGCGCTTTGAGCCGTCTCGAATCAAGTGCAAGGATTATTATCATCACGTCTTCAGGACGTCTCAAAGTGCTTCACAGAATATACTGTAAAGTGAATTTACTGTATTTTGTGGGCGAATCTCAGCAGCTAATTGCGCACAGCAGTGTCCCACAAACAGTCGCAGATTGAGTTATTAATAATTCATAATTATTCCGTAATAATTTACTTGCCCAAGGTTGCGCCCTGCCCGGGAATCGATCCCAGGTCTTCTTGCTTGTGAGGGGAGTGCTCTGTGGGAAACTGCTGTGTGCAATTGGCTGCCGCATTGCACCCACAAAATACAGTCACTACACTTTACAATATATTCTGTGAAGCTCTCGCCGCATGCATGGGTGGACTTTAACACACTCACAGACACCCTTGCCCTCTTTCACTGTGTGTGTATTTGTGTACACTTTAACTCTCACACTCATATCTAAATCAGACAGACACCCACACACACTTCTCCCTCTCACCACTCAAACGATAACTTGCACAAATACTAAACTATTCATGTTGGATAATGTCCTGAAGCAATTCACAGAGATGGGGATAGTGAGCAGGGAGGAGAGGAGAGAAGGGGCGAGGAGAGGAGAGGAGAGAGAGCATCTTAACTAGAGGCTGAGCATCTTAACTGGAGGTACCATCAGAGCGAGGGAGAAAAGGACTTTGTTTTTTGATCAGCCGGGTGTCTGACACACACACAAACCTGTCACCGTGACCAGCCAGGTGTCTGACACACACACACACACACAAACCCGTCACCGTGACCAACCGGTGTCTGACACACACAAAGACCCATCACCGTGACCAACGGGTGTCTTGACACACACAACTCCATCACCGTGACCAGCCGGGTGTCTGACACACACACAAACCCATCACCGTGACCAGCCGGGTGTCTGACACACATGGAAACCCATCACCGTGACCAGCCGGGTGTCTGACACACACACAAACCCATCACCGTGACCAGCCGGGTGTCTGACACACACACAAACCCATCACCGTGACCAGCCGGGTGTCTGACACACACACAAACCCATCACCGTGACCAGCCGGGTGTCTGACACACACACAAACCCATCACCGTGACCAGCCGGGTGTCTGACACACATGGAAACCCATCATCGTAGCTCAAGTGTCTCTAAACCAAACTGGAAGTTCCAGTATGTCACCTACGCATGGAAATTTCTCTTTGTCTGGTATTGAATGTACAACTCTGAAAAGAGGAGCGAGCCCCAGCACAGACACGATGGAGAGAGAGAGAGAGAGAGAGAGCAGGGAATGGGGTTAGAGTAGAGAGAGAGCTCCAGTGGGGGAGCGGAAAGTGAGTACCTGGTGGGATTGCCGGTTGCCTGTCCTGTTGCTGTTTAAATTTGTCCAGGTTGATGGAGGGCGGGCGGCTGGGCTTTTGGGGTGGAGGTCCGAGGGTCCAGGTCGCGGGGAGAGGTTTCCTCTTCGGTGTATCCAGGCCCTTCCCCTCCTCACTGTCCTCCATACTCTGACGTTTGGCCAGGAATTGGCCTTTGGGTTTGGGCCGGATGCTGGGGGGGGCTGTGCTGTGCTCCTCAGCTTTGGGTTTCTGCAGGAAAGTGGTGGGTTTGAGGCCTTGGCCCGAGATCTGCTTCACCGGCCTGAGGGGGAAACGCCCGACAGCCCCATCCTCATTCGCTGCCTTCTCCACACTGTCCTTGTGCCCAGCCACAGACTCAGCCCCAGGCTTCGGCCCGGGCTTGGGGAAGGTAGACCTGTCCCCCAGGCTGGGCTTGAGGCCTGAGGGCTTGGGGAAGGCCGGCTTCTCGTAGCTGTTGCCGGGATTGAGGGGTTTGGCGAATGGCGGGGGCTTCGTGAAGCGGCTCTCGTTCTCCTTCTGCAAATCCCGGGTCTCTGTCACGGCCTTCAGCCCGACCAGGGGCTTGGGGATGACTGGCTTCTCCTCCCCCGCCTGGACGCTGAACGCACTGACCAAGGACTTTGTCCCAACGCCCGGCTTCACGAAACTCGGTTTGGCCTCCTTTTGGGGAGTCAGGCCCTCGGTTTGGGTCCTTGCAGTTGTCCCGGGCTTCGGAAAGGACACCCATGGTGGGTTGGGTTTAGGCCCGGCCGAGCCAGAGTGCTCGCTGAACGATAGGGTGGGCTTCAACCCCGAGGGCTTGGGGGTAGCTGTGCTCTCGAAGCCGGCTGCCCGACTGGCTACCGAAGTCTTGACAGCTTGGAGGGAGGAATGAGGAATGGGTCTGAGCATCCGCGGGCCTACAGCAGAAGCCACCTCCTCCCCCGGGGGCTTCGAGCCAAACTTCGCCATCAGGGCCTTGACGTCAGACTTGGCATTCTGCGAGAGAGAGAGAGAGAGAGAGAGAGAGGAACAGTGACTGAGCGAGTACCAGGCAACAGGGAACAGGGAACGTCGATCAGACTGACGCACGGCCAGCGAACAACAACGAGCCCCCAGGATCGGTCTCCCCCGCAGCCCCAACCTTCTCCGCTTCCTGTCTGACTGTGACTTCCTGAGCCGTGGTCAGAGCGCTTCAAACACATACGCCAGCGAGCGATGTGTGCGTGTGCGCGTGTGTGCGCGCAGACACCCAGCAAGTCACCCCCCCCACCCCACCCCCACCGGTGTGAAAGCACACTTCCTGCTCTGCACTTGCTCCGCAAGAACCCCAGGTCAGGCGGAGAGCCAGGGGGAGGCTTCACTTGGGGCTCAGTCGCTCGCGCTCTCCCCTCCTGAGTCACGAGGTCACAGAATCTGAAGGAGACCATTCGGTCCATCGAACCTGCGTCGGCTCTTTGTAACCAATCCCACTCCCCCACTCTTACCCCAACTAGTCCCACTCCCTCACTCTTTCCCCAACTATTCCCACTCCCCTGCTCTTACCCCAACTAGTCCCACTCTCCCACTCTTACCCCAACTAGTCCCACTCCCCCACTCTTACCCCAACTAGTCCCACTCCCCCACTCTTACCCCAACTAGTCCCACTCCCTCACTCTTACCCCAACTAGTCCCACTCCCCCACTCTTACCCCAACTAGTCCCACTCTCCCGCTCTTACCCCAACTAGTCCCACTCCCCCGCTCTTACCCCAACTAGTCCCACTCCCCCGCTCTTACCCCAACTAGTCCCACTCTCCCGCTTTTACCCCAACTAGTCCCACTCCTCCGCCCTTACCCCAACTAGTCCCACTCTCCCACTCTTTCCCCAACTAGTCCCACTCCCCCACTCTTACCCCAACTAGTCCCACTCCCCCGCTCTTACCCCAACTAGTCCCACTCCCCCGCTCTTACCCCAACTAGTCCCACTCTCCCGCTCTTACCCCAACTAGTCCCACTCCCCCACTCTTACCCCAACTAGTCCCACTCCCCCGCTCTTACCCCAACTAGTCCCACTCCCCCGCTCTTACCCCAACTAGTCCCACTCCCCCGCTCTTACCCCAACTAGTCCCACTCCCCCACTCTTTCCCCAACTAGTCCCACTCCCCCGCTCTTACCCCAACTAGTCCCACTCCCCCGCTCTTACCCCAACTAGTCCCACTCCCCCGCTCTTACCCCAACTAGTCCCACTCCCCCACTCTTACCCCAACTAGTCCCACTCCCCCAGCCTTTCAGGCAGTGTATTCCAGACCGTAACAACTCTCTGGGTAAAAAAAAATCTCCTCGTCTCCCCTCTGGTTCTTTTGGCCATTATCCTGAATCGGTGTCACCTGGTTACCGACCCATTGCCACTGGAAACAGTTTCTCCCTATTTACTCTTTCAAAACCCCTCATAATTTTGAACCTCTCTATTAAGTCTCCCTTTAAACTTCTCTGCTCTGAGGGGAATAACCTCTCTCGTCTCTCCACATAATTGTAGTCCCTCATCCCTGGAATCATCTGCCATGTTGTGGGTTCGAGCCCCACATAAGGGACTCTGAGCTCACAGTCCAGACTGACGCTTGCGCAGCGCTGGGGGGAGAGAGAGAGAGAGATAACGCCGCATTGTCGGAGGTTCTGAGTTAATCCGGCATAGATTTCTGTGTGTTAACGTCGGATAAAAATAATAATCCTTGCGTTTCATATAGCGCCTGATCACGTCTTCGAGATGTTTCAAAACACGGCGCAGAGTATGTTGTAAAGTGTAGTGACTGTGTATTTTGTGGGCGAAACACACCAGTCAACTGGGCACAGCAGAGTCCCACAAACAGCCGTGGATCGAGTGACCAAATTATCATTTTTGAAAGTGTATTTTTTTTATTTTTTGAAGGGATTATTACCCCCGGAACAACCGGATTCCTAGTTACGGCTTAGTAAATAGAGACGTGTGGAGTAAGGTAACTTGCCTAATATTTTGCCCAGTCTGGGAATCGGACCAGTTCCTCTCGCTTGTGAGGTGAGGGCTCTAACCCCTGAGCTACAGCCCCAAGAGAAGGAAGTTTCTCTCTCCCTGTGTCCTGGCCGACAATCCCCCAGATTGAACCCCGTCACTACACGTGACCGCAATTCCCTGTGAAGCACTCTGAAGTGGTTTGGAGTTACAGATGATGTATCGAACACGAAGATACCAAACCAAACTCAGGAACAGTCTCTCTGTGACATTAGCAGTTAAGGGGAACTTCCACTCATCAACCGTCAGGACGAGACGTCACAGGGTCAGAGAAGGGGCAATGTCAGGACAGACACCAGGAAGTGTTTCTTTATACAGTGGGGAATTAGGAACCTAGGAACAGGAGCAGGCCATTCAGCCCTTCCAGCCTGTTCCGCCATTCTATAAGATCATGGCTGATCAACTCCAATTACCCCCTTTTCCCCATTTCCCTGGGTCCCCCGACCTAACAAACATCTCTCCACCTCAGGCTGGACAATGTGAATAGATCCAGACATAATCCACAGCCTTTTGGGAGAGGGTGAAAGAGAGAGAGAGAGTTCCAGATTCCCACTGGCCTTTGGATGAAAACCTGCCTCTGATTTCACCCGGGTTTGATTCCCGGGCAGGGCGAAACGTTGGGCAAATTTCCTTACTCCCCACACCTCTGATCACCAGAGATAAGTAGGAACCTGGTTGTTAGTCAATTGGCGGATCACTTTTCCGGGGATAAAAATCCCTTCCAAAATGATAATAATTTGGTCACTCAATCCACGACTGTTTGTGGGACGTCACTGTGCGCAAATGGCTGTGTTACGGCCACAAAATACACAGTCACTACACTTTACAGAATATTCCGCGAAGTGCTTTGAGACCTCTGGACAATGTGATAAAGTGCTGTGTAAGTGGAGGAATATGGTTTTATAGCTGTGGCAGAGAGGCGGCACAGGCACAGGCACGACAAGCCGAATGGCCTCGCTCTGTCTGTGAATGTCTATGGCTTGTGGGGCTGAGAGACCGGGTGTGGACAAGGTGGGGGTGAAATTTAAATGGAATATTTGTAGCTTCGCTGCTTGAATTTCTGGCAATCAGTTGTATTTTCAATTTGCTCTTTTAGCGCCTAGAAACGTTGAGACATTTAGCTCGTCCAGACTTTCCCAGCTTTCTCCCTCCCCGTCTCCCCTCGCTTGACGTCCACAACTCATCCAAAACATCGCCCACGTCCTCACCCACACCGAACTCCATCCCCCCCATCACCCCAGCCCTCGCCAAGCTCCCCTGGCTCCCGGCAGAATGATCTCAAGCTCCTCAGCCTCATGTGCAAACCCATCCACTCCCTGACACCTCCTCACCTCCTGTGCGGATTCCTGTAGTTTAGTGGTTAGATCACTCACTCGTTTGTAAGCAAACTTTTTAAAAAGGATTATTATCCCAGAAGGTGATCCGCCAATCGACTACCCCAGGCTCCTACTCACTGTCAGGCAAACGGGTGCGTGGAGTAAGGGAACTTGCCCAGCGTTTTGCTCGAGAATCAAACCCGGGTCCTCTCGCTTGCTCTAACCACTGAGCTACAGGGCTGCACACTTAAGGTGGATTTTAAAGGTGGGGAGGAAGGAGAGAAGGGGGTGAAGCGCAGGGGGAGAGGGGGGATGGGGGGGAAAGAAGAAGGGGGAGAGGTGCAGGGGGAGAGGAGGAGGGACTCCGGGATGGAGTTCCAGAGTGCGGGGGCAGGATGGCTGAAACGCCCTCTGATGGCCGGGCGCGTGATGTGAGGGCGGTAACCACTGACCGGTGAGGACGGTGAGGTCGGGGGAGGGCAGAGATCGGGATGGACTGGGGCAGGGAAGTGAAAGTGCGGGCGAGGAGAAGGTTGAGTTTCAACGATTAACATCCATAGAAACTCCCTCCCCCTCTTCCCCTAACCTCCCCCCTCTCCCCCTAACCTCTCCCCCCCTCCCCACCTCCACAGTGTTCAGAGTAAGAGACTTAATCAGGTTACCTTGGGTAGGGCTACGCAGAAAGCCAACCGGTGTCTCAGTCACAGAGAGGAAAGTGAGAGTGGATGAGACTGAGCCGCACTCCGCGCTCTCTCTCTCCTCTTCCTCCGCTCTCTCTCTCTCTCTCTCTCTCTCAGGCGAGTTGACCACAATATCCTCTCACAGTGCCGGTCGGCTGAGCCGCTAGCGAGCGAACGAGAGAGCGATGGAATGAGCGAGATGCTCCGAGACGCAGCCCAACCCCAGTGAGGAAGCTATTAAGAGGACCTTGAAACAGGAAGCGTTTGACAGTCTCGGGGGGAAGGAGAGTCGGGGGAGAGAGAGAGAGAGAGAGAGAGAGAACTCACTTACCGAGACGCGGAAGCTGTCGTTATTCACATTAGATAAATATAAACACAAACAAAGCCTTTACTAAAGCTACCGAAAGCCAGCGAGGTGCGGAGTAAAACACCGTCAGCCGGCTGGCTTGTCACACAGAGGGACTTTTCCAAACACAACTACCTGCCAAGCCGGTTTCATTAAACATCTCCTCCTTCTCTGGATGAGAGGCAACCTCGTTCAGGTGAACACCAGCAACAGGTGACGGTGCTTGAAAAGGAACAAAAATTGCAGGGCTGTAGGGTAAGGGCGGGGGAGATGGGGTAAGGGAGTTGGGGTAAGGGTGAGGGAGTTGGGGTAAGGGCGGAGGAGTTGGGGTAAAAGGGCGAGGGAGTTGGGGTAAGGGCGAGGGAGTTGGCCCACAAAATATACAGTCACTACAGTTTACAGTGGATTCTGTGAAGTGTTTTGAGAGGAGGAGTATTATTATAATAACAAAGCACACAGTCACTACACCTCACAGTAAATCCCCCGTGAAGCACTTTGAGACGTTCCTCCTGAAGTGAAACCGATGTGAGGATGATGAGGAGTTGTGGTACGTTGTATGTAACAATGTCAGACTCACTGCTTCACACCAACCAAACCCATCCCCGGCCCGAGCCCGGCTCAGCCTCCACTACCTGATAAGGCACCGTATCAAATGCAAGGGCCTTGGGGGGCTGGGGAGACGGGGATGACTGGTTGGACAACCCCACCCTCCCCCACTCACTGCAGTGTCACACAATAAATCCCCCGCTCCCCCCTCGTGCAGCTCCTCGCCTCACGCGAAGAGCCCAAGTTCAAGCTCACCCGACATCTCTCCCAATGACAACCGATGCAAATCGAGGGAAGAAACACGGAAGCCGCGGCTTTCCCACTTTCCTGGGGGTTTTGCCCTCCCTCTAACACACGCTCGCCGAGCTCACAGTCCAGGCGCAATTGGCCGCCACGTTTCGCCCACAAAACGCACAGTCACTACACTTTGCAGTACATTCTGTGAAGCGCTTGGAGATGTTTCGAAGACGTGATAAGGCGCCATATCAAATGCAAGGATGATGATTATTATTATTACCAGTTTATTGCCTGGAAACCCCTCTCTCTCTCTCGGAGAGCGGGGGGGAGAGAGTGTGAGATAGCCATATGTTAACTAACACATCCCACATCGCAATCTCACCCCCTGCTCGCTGCACTTCCTGCCTGTACTTTCCATCGCCTCGCCTCACCTCACCTCATCCCGCTGCTCGTTTAAACTAAAATAAAAGTCCTGTAAAATAAAAATTTCCTCTTTCGGGCTGAGTTTGTGTTCATTTTTAGACCTGGAATGATCCCAATATCACACCTCCTCAAAGCCCGGCCTCAACGGCTGACATTTCCTGGCCTCTCCTCTGTATTTAGCACTTAAGGAATCACTTTGGGTACTATTATTAGTTTTACATCGACTCTAACCTCAAGATGTTGGCTCCACATTCCCCCCCCACCCCACCCCACCTCACACCATTGGTGGTCAGGCCTTCAGCCTCTCTGCCCCTCACCCTCTGGAACTCCATCTCACATTCCCTTGGCCTCGCTCCCTCTCTTGCCTCCTTCAAGGCCCGTCTCGAAACCTCCTCATCGACCGTGCCTTCAGTCACCCGCCCACCCCTACCCTCCCCGCGCCCCTCTCTCTCTCCCTCCTGATCCCAGCCTTGTAGCTCAGTGGTTAGAGCTCTCGCCTCGCAAGCGAGAGGACCTGGGTTTGATTCCCGGGCAGGGGGCGAAGATTTGGGCAAGTTTCCTTACCCCCCCCCACGCCTCTGTTTACCAGCAGTCAGTAGGAACCCGGTTGTTAGTCGATCGGTGGATCAGGGCAATCAATTAATTTTACAGTGTATCCTGTGAAGGACTTTGAGACGTCACGAAGATGTGATAAGGCTCTACATCAAATGTAAGGATTATTGTTATTATATTATAATCCCCAGTCTCAGGGTCCAAATCCCTGAATGTCCAGCACTTTGGGGTGTCCTCCTAACACGGAAGGCACTGTGTAAATGTCATTTGTTGTCGTTGGTGAAGCCCATTCGGTCCATTTGATCTCATCCATCCAGCGTCCCTGCCCACAACCCTCCCCCCCAGCATCCTAACCCCAACCCTAGCCAACCCAAATGGCTCCCAACATCCTGACCTCACTCCAGGGGGGAATTCTCCCTCCGGCTACAGAAATACTTCCTGGTGTCTGGTCTGAAATTGCCTCTCAACCCGTACCACAGTGGTTAGAGCACTTGCCTCACAAGCGAGAGACTTGGGTTGATTCCCAGCCAAGAGAAACGTTGGGCAGGTGGACCTTAAAGATCCTGGGGCTGAGACACCAGCATTTAAGTGCTCTGAGACGCTACTGTGCGTGGCGGGCGCTATATTAATGCAAGCTGTTTTTTCTCTCACTCAACAGGAGCCCTGTAGTTCAGTGGTTAGAGCGCTCACCTCCCAAGTGAGAGGACCAGGGTTCACTCCTGGGCAGGGAGAAACCTTAGGCAAGTTTCCTTACTCCAGACGCCTCTGTTATCAGCAGTAAGTAGGGACCTGGTTGTTAGTCGATTGATGGATCACTTTTCTGGGGTAATAATCCCTTCAAAAATAATAATTTGGTCACTCAATTCAGGGCTGTTTGTGGGACGCTGCTGTGTGCAATTGGCTGCCACGTTTCGTCCACAAAATACCCAGTCAATTCACTTTACAGTGTATCCTGTGAAGTGCTTTTTTGAGACGTCTCGAAGACGTGATAAGGGGTCCTGTAGCTCAGTGGTTAGAGCACTCGCTTTGCAAGTGAGAGACCTGAGTTCAATTCCAGGCAGAGGGCGAAACCTTGGGCAAGTTTCCTTACTCCACACAGAGCCTAATAATAATCCCTCCAAAACCAAAAACAATAATAAATTGGTCATTTTCAATCTACGACTGTTTGTGGGACATTGCTGTGCGCAATTGGCTGCCGCGTTCGCCCACAAATATACAGTCAATTCACTTTACAGTGTGTTCTGTGAAGCGCTTTGGGACGTCCTCCCGACGTGAAAAGCGCTATATCAAATGCGAGGATTATTATTATTAATTGGAGTTGAGCTACAGATCAGCCATAATCTTACAGAATGCCGGAACAGGCTTGAAGGGCTGAATGGCCGCCTATTCCTATATTTTCATGTCCCAGCCCGACTACCCCTCAGCCAGGCTCCCCGGTTCTGAGTTCACCTTATTATCTTACCACACAAGCAACCCGTGACTTTAAACCCGACACCAAAGCCTCAACCAGAGTAATCTGATCAAATGGCTTCCAAAAACTCCGTCCGAAATCACACTCGTGGCTTCAATAACTTCCCCAAAGACAGGTCAGTAACTGCACAAACACCAACTCATCCTCTTTGCAGCATCTCAGCTCTCTTTATGGCATGTGTCACATGGACAGTGAGTAAAAATAAACTGTCTTCCTCTGTGCCGTTTGCGGGGGACTTTGCTGTGTGCAAACTGGCTGCTACATTCGCCTGGAGGGCATTGCAGAGTCCTGTAGCTCAGTGGTTAGAGCCCTCGCTTCACAAGCGAGAGGACCCGGGTTCAATTCCTGGGCAGGACACAACCTTAGGGCAAGTTTCCTTACCCCACACGCCTCTGTTTACCAGCAGTCAGTAGGAACCCGATTGTTAGTTGATTGGCGGATCACTTTTCCGGGGGTAATAATCCCTTCAAGAAATGAATACTGCAAATAATCTGTTCGCTCAATCTACGGCTGTTTGTAGGACGCTGCTGTGCGCAATTGGCTGCCGCGTTTCGCCCACAGAATATGCGGTCACTACACTTTACAGAGTACTTTAAATAACTGCTGAGACAGAAATGACAGGAAATTGAGAAACATAGGAGGCCATTCAGCCCCTCAAGCCTGTTCCACCGTTCCTCCCCGTCAATGACCCCGAGAGAGAGAGAGAGAGAGAGAGGGATAGAAAGCGAAAGAGGGAAGGAAGGATGGAGGGAAGGAGACAGAAATAAGGAGGGAAAGAAAGATATAGAGGGAGACCAAGAGACAGAGCGAGTTAGAGGAGCGAGGAACAGGCCTCTCAGTGTTGAGTTACTGACCCACACGAGGATTAATTTGAATAAAAACTAAATGCAAATGTCGGGCTTGGCCTGCTATCTCTTTCCCTTTCTATCTTTCTCTCTTTCCCCCTCTCCTTCTCTTCCCCTCGCTCTCCCTCTTTCACTTTTCAGTGTATCCTACGAAGCTCTTTGAGACGTCTCGAAGACGTGATAAGGCGCTGCAACAAATACACCAATTACTACGATCATTATTATTATTATTATTATTGCTATTGTCGGTCGCTGGAGATTAACAGAGATTAAAAGACAATTCACTGGAGACTGACTCACCATCTCTCCCTGAGGCAGGACAAACCCACACTCCCTCCGTCGGTCTGCCCGCCCGCACTCTCCCTCCCTCCCTCCCTCCCTCGCTCACTCGTCTGTCTTCCACGGCACTGGCTGCTCAAACTTCCCCTCCGCTGGCCACCTAACCACACGCTTCCCACCCTCAGCCGTCATCACTGTGACAGCTGTACCCACAGCCCTGTGTCAGCTTCTTATCACTCACACTCATCACTGTGATGGGCGGGTGGGGGGGGGGGAGGGAGAGACAGGGAAAGAGGGAGAGAGTGACAGGGAGGGGGAGAGAGGAAGGAGAGAGAGAGGGTGGGGTGGGGGGGGGGGGGGTGGGGGAGGGTGCCTGGGGTGTGGGGGAGCGACAGAGGGAAGTGAGAGATGCAAACGCAGTCACAAGATGGGTTCACATAAAGAAAACCTTTCAGGCCGTCTGATCTCCTCCCCCCAGAACCCCCGCCCGACCGTCCCCCCATCACAGCATTGAGCTGCTTTATAAACCAGTCCCGGAGACCTGGCCTCAACCCCCCCACCCCCCCACCTCCCCACTTCCTGCTAATCCTGTTCCACGGGTTAATTACCCTCTGGGCAAATAAACACTTCCTGGTGTCTGCCCTGAAGAAACATTTTGAATCATAGAATTTTACAGCACAGAAGGACGTCGTTCGGCCCATCGTGTCTTTGCCGGCTCTTTGGAAGAGCTGCCAAGTAGTCCCACTCCCCCGCTCTTACCCCAACTAGTCCCACTCCCTCACTCTTACCCCAACTAGTCCCCACTCCCCCGCTCTTACCCCAACTAGTCCCACTCCCTCACTCTTACCCCAACTAGTCCCCACTCCCCCGCTCTTACCCCAACTAGTCCCACTCCCCCGCTCTTACCCCAACTAGTCCCACTCCCTCACTCTTACCCCAACTACTCCCAGTCCCCCACTTTTACCCCAACTACTCCCACTCCCCCACTTTTACCCCAACTACTCCCACTCCCCCGCTCTTACCCCAATTAGTCCCACTCCCCCGCTCTTACCCCAACTACTCCCCCCGCTCTTACCCCATAGCCCTGCACATTTTTCTTTTTAAGTCCCTATCCAATTCCCCTTTGAAAGCTGTTATTGAATCTGCTTTCACCCGCCTCTCGGGCAGTGAACTCCAGACCGTAACAACTCTCTGTAAAACAAAGTCTCCTCCCCTCCCCTCTGGTTCTTTTGCCGATTATCTTAAATCTGTGTCCTCTGGTCACCGCCAGTGAAACAATTTCTCCCTATTTATTCTATTTATCAAAACCCTTCATAATTTTGAACACCTGTATTGAATCTCTCCTTAACCTTCTCTGCTCTAAGGAGAACAATCTTGCCTAAGGTTTCGCCCCCCGCCCGGGAATCAAACCCGGGTCCTCTCGCTTGCGAGGCGAGTGCTCTAACCCCTGAGCCACAGGACTCCACTTTACCTGAGCACTAATGTTAAATCATTACACCCATAATAAGTATCTAATTGTATTTGTGTTTAAACGATCTCCTTAAGTATTGTGAAATACCAGCGCAGAACGGTTTCATTTTAGTTGTTGAGAAATTAACTTTTAACTTGGAAAATGGAACAGAAAGTTCTCATGCGCTGCCACCGTTAATAGGAGACTAAAAATATCCACTTAATCAACTTCAGAACCTTTAAGGAGGCAATCGGAGTATCAGCTCGCATCACCATGTACTATATTGTTGGCTGACCAATAATATATAATATATAATAACCCTTGCAGTTGATACAGCAACTTATCGCGTCTTCGAGACGTCTCAAAGCGCTTCACGGAATATACTGTAAAGTGTAGTGACTGTATGTTTTGTGGGCGACATGTGGCAGCCAATTGCGCACAGCAGCGTCCCCACAAACGGCCGTGGATTGAGTGACAATTTTTTAAAATCAGATGCTATATGGAAGGCACAGGAGGACAAGGCGTTAATATATACACGGAGCATGAGGTCCCAGTGCAAACCCCTGAGCCCCTGAATCCACAGCTATGTCCTTGTCCTCGATACCCAGTGACCACGGTTTGCGGAGAAATCTCTCCAAACCCACCCGATCCCCCGGTACAACAACAATCTCCGCCGCCAAAAACCCAAACCCGGCTGCTCGAGCGCAGATGGCGGAAAACTGTCCTGACGGTTCACCAACTGAGGCTCGAGCATCTCCACAGCGACCGCCGTTCTTTGACACGCGCAAAAACGGCTTCTACTCCAACATCATCGCGGAGGCTAAACACAACCCCAACGTCCTTTTTTCCACCACCCACTACCTCATCCGTGCCCCCCCTCAGGCCCCTCAATCTTCACATCCAATGCCAAGTGCGAGGAGGTCATGGACTTCTTTTCATCCAAAATACACATCTACCAGACAGCCTCATCCTCCTGCCTCTTGTCACACACCACCACCCCCTCTCCGACCGCCTCACCCTCCCCATCATCTGCTCATACCAACACCCCCATTCTACATTCTTTCCTCCCCATCTCTCCCTCCTCCCTCTCACCCACCATCACCTCCATGAAACCCACCACCTGCTGCCTCGACCCCCTCCCCACCAACTTGCTGGTCACACAGCTCCCCCTCCTCTGCCCACTACTGGCTGACGTCATCAACCAGTCCCTCTCCTCCGGATCAGTCCCTGCCCCTCCTCAAAATTGCTGTCATCACCCCCCTCCTCAAAAAACCCTCCCTCGATCCCTCAAACCCCAGCCATTACTGCCCCATTTCTAACCTGCCCTTCCTCACCAAAGTCCTAGAACGCGTTGTTGCCAATCAACTCCGCGCACACCTCTCCTCCCACTCCCTCTTCGAACCCCTCCAGTCCGGTTTCCGCCCACAGTACAGAGACTGCGCTTGTGAAAGTCACAAACGACATCCTCTCTATCTGTGACCAGGGCTCCCTCTGCCTCCTTGTCCTCCTGGACCTCTCCGCGGCATTCGACACAGTCGATCAACCCATCCTCCTCCCCCGCCTTTCCTCCGTCATCCACCTCAGTGGGACCGCACTCGCCTGGTTCGAGTCCTACCTCACAAACCACCAGCAGTACATCTGCACCAACGGCTTCTCCTCTCCCGCTCTCACCCGGATACCTGTTGGGGTACCCCAAGGATCCATCCTTGGCCCCCTCCTCTTTCTGATCTACAAACTCCCTCTTGGGGATGTCATCCGCAGACATGGGGTACACTTCCACATGTACGCGGATGACACCCAACTCTATTTGTCCACCTCTCTTTGCGCCCCCCAGTCCCCTGATGTTCTCCTGTCAGATCTCAGGGGTTGGATGAGCGCAAACTTCCTTCAGCTGAACGTTGACAAGATGGAAGCCATACTCTTTGGCTCTCGTCAACATCTAAAGTCTCAGGGTTCTCACCTCCTCCACCGACCCGACCTCCCCCTAAAACTCTCCGAACCCGTACACAACCATGGCGTCAACTCCACGACCCCCGATGTCCTGACAGCTGTCTGTCTGACATCGATCCTGGACGAGAGACAACTTTCTTCAGCTCAACGTGCGCAAAACTGAGGCCCTCCTGATTGGCTCACGTCAGCGCCTCCGCACCTCAGGCGCTGACAGCATCAGCATCCAAGGCCGCACTCTCCACCTCTCAAAGCCATCAGGAACCTCGGGGTTCTGTCAGACCCTGAGCCGTCCTTTCTCCCTCATATCCGCACCACAACCGGCACCACCTTCCATCACCTCCGGAACATCGCCAGACTACGGCACTACCTCACCCCTCACGCGGCTGAAACTCTGGTCCACACCTTTATCACCTCAAGGCTGGACTATGGGAACTCTCTCCTCGCGGCCTTCCCGGCCCTCCCTCCACACTGCAGGTCATTCAGAACTCTGCAGCTCGTGTACTGTCCCGCATCAGTGACCACATCACTCCCACCCACACCCTCGCCCTCACTCTCACCCTCACTCGCCTCCACTGGCTCCCCATCCCCCAGAGGATCGAATTCAAGATCCTCATCCTCACCTACAAGGCCATTCATGGCCTCGCTCCCTCCTACCTCTCTGACCTACTATCCCCCTACTTACCTGCCCGTACCCTCCGTTCCTCTGGCTCCGGTCTTCTCCACGTCCCCCGCCCCAACCGCCCTACTATAGGTGGCCGGGCCTTCAGCCTCTCAGTCCCGAGGCTCTGGAACTCCATCCCCCAGTGCCTTCGCCGCTTCCTCCCTTTCCTCCTTCAAGGCCGGTCTCAAGACCTTTCTCTTTGACCGTGCCTTCAGCTCCGCTCTCGACTCTCTCTACCCCCTTCCTCGCCCCCTCCCTTCCCTCCCCTCACTGACCATTTTCCCCCCCCTCCTCCTGCCTTCCCTCCCTCACCCTGACCATTTCCCCCTCCTCGCCCCTCCCTCCCTCCCCTCACCCTGACCATTTCCTTCTCCTCGCTCCCTCCCCTCCCCCTGACCATTTCCCCCCAATGCTCGAGTCCTGACCCAACTCTCCAGCGCCTTGGGACGTCCTCCCAACGTGAAAGGCACTCTATAAATGGAATCTTGTTGTTGTTGTTGTGTTGTCAGGTTCGCCCCCCAATTATCCTTCCTCCCCCACACCATCTTCTACCACCTCCGACGCATCACCCCTCTCGGCCAATACCTCACTCCAAAAGCCGCTGAAACCCCTGGTCCATGCCTTTGTCACCTCTCGGCTGGACTACTCTAACGCCCTCCTCGCCGGCCTCCCAAAATCAGATGCTATATGGAAGGCACAGGAGGACAAGGCGTTAATATATACACGGAGCATGAGGTCCCAGTGCAAACCCCTGAGCCCCTGAATCCACAGCTATGTCCTTGTCCTCGATACCCAGTGACCACGGTTTGCGGAGAAATCTCTCCAAACCACCCGATCCCCCGGTACAACAACAATCTCCGCCGCCAAAAACCCAAACCCGGCTGCTCGAGCGCAGATGGCGGAAAACTGGCCTGACAGTTCCGCACAGCAGCGTCCCACAAACAGCCGTGGATTGAGTGACCGCATTTTTTTTGAAGGGATTATTACCCCCGGAAAAGTGATCCGCCAATCGACCAACAACCGGGTTCCTACTCACTGCTGGTAAACAGTTGTGGGAGTGAGGAAACTTGGCCAACGTTTCACCCCCTGCCCGGGAATCGAACCCAGGTCCTCTCACTTGCGAGGCGAGGGCTCTAACCCCTGAGCTACAGGGGTCCACAAGATGGTTCTCCCATCTCTCACTTGTCTCTGTCTCGAGGTAAGTGAGAGATGGGGGGACGAGCATGAGGTATTGAAAGGTGAGAGAGTTACCGTTGGTGACGGAGGAGACCTGAGCGATCTCAAAGTCATCGTTGTCGGCTGTGTCCTGGGCCAGACCTACTTTGCTGAAATACTGGGAGAAGGCGGCTGAGGTCCCGGGAACGCTGGCCGGCTCGGATCGCCGGGCTGGCACTGCGGGCGGCTTGGCAATCTGGAAATCTTTAAACAGGTCCTTGACGCTCTTGGAGTCTCGTTCGCCCAGGGGGTCCAGGCCACTGAAGGCACTGGGCTTGGGGGGCTCCAGCACGGAGGGTCTTGGTGGAGGCTGTGGGGGTCCCGCGCTTTGGGAGGAGGTCAGGCCCACCAGGGGCACGGCGACTGGTGGGCTGAAGGGGTTGGGGGTTAATGGGGCAGCCTGGGGGGCGGCTGGATGACCCCAGACCCCGGGCTGGGAGAGGGGAACCTGCCCCCAGGCGGAGGACATAAAGGTGCCGGGCTGCCCCCAGCCCACGGGAGCTTGGCTGAAGACGTTGGGGTGTATGAACCCTGCTGGTCTGGGAGCCACGGCAGTCGGAGCGGGTGGGCCCCACGGTCCGGGGGGAGAGGGTCCGACCAGACCTACAGGGAGAAGAACTGAGTGAGTGTCTGTCTTAACACCAAGGTCCATCCTGTTCGCCTTCCACCATCCCACCAGTCACTTGATATGTCGTGTCCCAACTATATACTATATCCCCATATCAACCTGTCCGCTCCTTCCGCTCAGTGGGCTCTGGCCAGCTCCACGGCCCCCGCCCGGCCCATCCCACCATCAGCGGTCGGGCCTTCAGCCTCTCTGCCCCCACCCTCTGGAACTCCATCCCACAGTGCCTTCGCCTCAGCCCCTCTCTTGCCTCCTTCAAGATCCGTCTCAAGACCCTCTTCTTTGACTGCGCCTTCGATCACCCTCTAATCCCCCACCCTCCCTGGCCTCCACCGCTCCCGATCCCAACCCCCACTTCGGGCCCCAAATCACTGACTGTCCAATGCTTTGGGACGTTCTCCTGACGTGAAGAGCGCTGTGTAAATGTCATGTGTTGTTACGGTCCTACCTGGACTGGCCAGTGTTGGTGCTGTGGTGGGCACGGTGAGGAGGCCGAGGGGGTAGCTGGGAGATGGTTGACTAGCTGGAGCGCCAGCCTCAAACATGCCAGAGCCAAAGGGGTCACCAGAGGGCAGGTCACCAGGAGACTGAGAGAGAGAGGGCAGAGGTCAGGCAATTCCTATCAAACATAGCACAGAAACCACACAACTATAGAGCGTGAAGGCGTTTAGACTCCAACCGGACTCCCACCCCGGGATCTGAAGGTGGGGAGGGAGGGGGCGAGGCGGAGGAATTGAGGGAGAGAGTTCCAGAGTTTCGGGGTGTAGGGGCTGAAGGCACGGCCACCGATGGTGAAGCGGAGGGGGCGAGGGACAAACAGGAGGCCGGAGCCAGCCGAGCAGAGGCAGCGGATGGGGGAGTGGGCGGGTGAGCAGGTCGGGGAGGTAGGGAGGGGCGAGGCCATGAAGGGATTTGAAAACGAGTGAGAGGAGCTTGAAATCGATCCATTCGGTGATTGGGAGCCAGTGGAGCCTGGCGAAGACTGGGGTGATGACCGGTTAACACAGAGGAACGTTTACGTCCACCTGAGCAGGTACAGATGGGACCTCAGTAAAATGTCTCCTCCGAAGAACGGCAGCTGAAAACACAGCACTCCACCAGCACTGTGCTGGAGGGTCAGCTTGGACTGAGCTTACAGTCCGACAGGGAGTTGGCTCAAACTCACAACCTCCTGACTCAGAGGCGAGTGGCATTGGATGGGGAGAGAAGAGCAGTTGGAGACACTGCTGATGACAGCCCAGCCCATCGGCAGGACCCGGTAGGACACACCAGTCACTTGGGGCAGGGAAACCTCCCACTCAGCTCCTGTTACCCCGCATCCAAAGCCCTAACTAATGGGGAGGGTGGTCCTCGCTGGACAAGCAGCGGGAAAGCTGGTCAGACAGTGATCTCAATGGCCGAGCTGTGTGGGTTTAACTGGTTAGACTCCAGCAGTTACCCCAACACACACTCTGGGCTCCCCCCAGGCCTTGGCTCTCACCAACCTGCGCCTAATACTCTCTGGAATTAGATAAACAGGATGTGTCCCTCCAGAGAGAGAGGAGAGAGAGAGAGAGAGCGCATTCCATTCCAACCATCTATCTCTGGGATTCTCATATGTAGGTGGGAGACATGGAATTCTCAGTTGGGTTTGGAGACTCTTAAGCAACGGTGATGGGTTTCCACGTGTGTCAGACACCCGGCTGGGGGAAAAAAAAGCAATTGAGAGATTCACACAATTAGTAACATTATATAAAGTTGGTTCCTGGTGTCTGTGCAGTGAGGAGATGCTGTTAGACCTGCGTTAAAGCCACACCACTCGCTGCAACAACCTTGAATTTGCATCCTTCACAAGCAATAGGTTAAAAGCAAATTCCGGGGATTAGATGATAGAATGGTAAGCCTTGCATTTGATACAGCGCCTCATCACATCTTCGAGACGTCTCAAAGCGCTTCACAGAATATACTGTAAAGGTGTGGTGACTGTGGGGCGAAACTCGGCAGCCCATTGGGTTCAGCAGCGTCCCACAAACAAGTCGTGGACTGAGTGACCAATCCACTAACAACTAAAAACTAACGTGTTCCTACTTACTGCTGGTAAACAGAGGTGTGTGGAGTAAGGAAACTTGCCCAACATTTCGCCATTCCCGGGAATCAAACCCAGGTCTCTCGCTTGCGAGGCGAGGCCTCTAACCACTGAGCTACAGGACTCCATGCTCCAGTTAACGGTTAGTCACATCTGGAGCCCGAGTGTTGGATCTCATCACAATGTCAGAGCTGGTTAGTAGCTGAGCAGGGTTAGGAACATTCAACGCAGTGTCGCTGGTGGGACAAGGATCCGGGTTTAGTGCAGAGCGTAGAGCTGTAGCAAGTCTGTGGTTAGTGACGAGCTTCGTCTGTTAGAGTCACCTTGACGTTCCTTCTGCCTCGTGCCGTCTGGGGCGGTGGGGAGAGCACGACAGAGTCTCGGGGGGGCTTGTGGACGAGGTCCGATTGGCGTTGGCCTGGCTCCAGGTTCCTTACCGGTGGTGACGGCACAGCCTGGCGCTTGGCAAAGGGGTTGGTGTAGGTGCTGCCCGCATGGCTGCTCGCTCGGTCACTTCCGGAGCCTTGGTTGAGGGATCCATTCAGGGCTGATGCGGAGGATTCCAACTGGTCAAGTCTCCAGAGCCCCTCCAAGCCCCCCGCTCTCCCGTTCACCAGCTCAGAGTCACAGCCAGTAAGCTCCCTGCTCAGTCCGTTGACGTTGATGTTGGGACCCCCAGGGAGAGAGCCTTCGCTGGGGTTGGGGGGCTGAGGGCTGAACACAGTGAAGGGATCGTGGCCGAAAGGGTTGGGGTCTGGGGTGGGGAAGAAAGCCAGCGAGGAGGGGAAGCCGCTGGCACACGGAGCCTCCGCAGAGACGCTGGCTGGGGCAGGAGTCAGATCCAGTAAGAAAGTGGACGAGGAAACGCCGTTAGTGTCCTGGATGGCCAGAGAGAAAGGTCAGATCACTCACTCCGTGGCTCGTCCAACACAGGGGAAGCCAAGCAATGGTCACTGAGCCTTGAATTGAACACAACAGAACAATCTGCCAGGTGGACAAAGCCCAAAGTCCATCCCGTTCATCTTCCACCAGCCTGGAGGTCGCTTGACATGTCGTGTCCCAAACTACACACCGTATCCCCCAGATATTCTAATAATCCTTGTATTTGATACAGCGCTTGATCACGTCTTCGAGACGTCTCAAAGCGCTTCACAGCAATAGCGTTGGTGCCTTTTTGTGGGCGAAACGCGGCAGCCAATTGCGCACAGCAGCGTCCCCGCAATCCGTCGTGGATTGAGTGACCAAATTAGTATTTTTTTAAAATCATTTACTTCGTTATTTTGATTAAGGGATTAGTACCCCCGGAAAAGTGATGACTTGTCAAAAAAACAGAAATCGATCTCATTCATTCTTGAAACAAGAATCAATTAGATAGGTTTCTGCTTCCACCGTCTCTCCCGAGGGAACCTGTTCCATACGTTTATGACTCGTTCACTGAAGTCGTGTTTCCGCAGATTTGTTCTGAATTTCGCCCCTTTCGATCTCAGGCCGTATTGTCTGGTTCTACTGTTCAGTACGAGATATAAAACAGCTTCTCGTGGTCTGTAAGAATTGGAGTAGAGAAACTCCTCACTGTTCTCTCCAGACACCACAACCCATTAAATAAATGATAGATTTCCGTTAGCAAATAATATTTGGGGATACAGTATATAGTTTGGGACACGACATGTCCAGCGACTGCCAGGATGGTGGGTGGAAGGTGAACTAGCTGGACCTTGGACTTCCTTCTCCGAGCAAATTCTCAGTTCTGATGAAAGGTCATTGACCTGAAATGTCGACTCATTTTCCTCTCTCCATAGATGCTGTCTGACCTGCTGCGTGTTCCCAGCCACTTCCGTGTTTATACCAGATTTCCAGCATCCGCAGTACTTTGTATTATGTTCTTAACCTGGTCAGAACTCCATCTCTCCACCCCCCACACCCGCTCCACCCGCAATGAGATTCATCTATAAAAACAGTCACTACACTTTACCCTGAATCCTGTCAAGCTCCGAGACACCCCCCAACCCCACCCCCCACCCCCTTACTCCCAATGCGAATGGAGTTGTATCAAGGATTTATATTGGATTTCTTGAAGTCAAACATCCCAATGGGCTTTACAGGATTCATTGAGAAGTGTAGTGACTGTTTGTAGGTGAACCCAGCAGCCGATTGGCAACTTCCCACAAGTTGGGATGTCAACACAGGATAGAAAACGGTTTGGGTTTCTCATTAACAAAAACATCTGGCTTCTCCTCACACCTTCAGCTTAGTCCCTTAACAACAGATTACACTAGTACAGCACCCTTCACTTCGGAAAGATGTCCCACAGCTCCTTGCCATGAAAATGTCTGCCATTCTCCTGGCTCCCCTACACATCACACCAAGAGCAGCACCAAATTATCCAGAGCTCAGTCTCCAGACAAGACAATAGATCAACAAGGCGACAAGTACAGCCAATTCCACACGTACATCCACACAGGAGCACAGCCAGACAGACACCTCGGACGGGGGCTGACCTCAGTACAGTTCATGGGCTCCAGCAGTAACCCCTTGGTTCTTGCCAACCTGCACCTAAAACTCTTCGAATTAGGTAAACAGGAGGCCTCCCTCCGGGGGGGAAGAGAGAGAGAGAGAGCGCATTCCATTCCAACAATTTCTCTCTGGGATTTCCATGTGTAGTTGGGAGACGGGGAATTTTCAGCTTAGTTTGGAGACTCTTAAGCAACGGTGATGGGTTTCCGTGTGTATCAGACACCCGGTTGGGCACGGTTGGAAGTGGGATTTAAGGACAGATGGGGAGGGGGAGTTGTCGGGCGTTCCAGATATTAGGGAAGTCACCACTTACATGAAATCCAGAGACTTGTCAAAATAAAGCAGTTTATATCACTTCATATATTCCCTCCTCCCCCGAAATGCTATACAATAGTCAGCGTTTACCTGGCCCTTCAGGCTGTGAGTCACACCAATTTAAACTCTCGCTCTCCCCCATCACCCCCCACTGCCCCCACCCAGCACGTCATCTGGGATTCCAGGAAAGATGTATTTACTGAGGTCATAGCCCAGTCAACATGGCAATCAGTAACTGGGTGCAATGACCCAGGTGTTTGGGGGGCGTGGAAGAGAGAGCACAACAAATTGTATTAGTCTACAGCCTTTCACATCGGGAGGTCAACAGATGATGCGAGGCATCAATTGACTGATAATAATAATCCTTGCATTTGATATAGCGCCTGATCATGTCATCAAGACATCTCAAAATGCTTCATGAGAATATATTGCAGAGTGTGGTGATCGTATTTTGTGGGTGAAACGCGGCAGCCAATTGCGCACAGCAGCGTCCCACAAACAGTCGTGGATTGAGTGACCACAATAATAGTAATCATTAAAAAATTTTGAAGGGATTATTATTCCCAGAAAAGTGATCCGCCAATCGACTAACAACCGTGTTCCTACTGACTGCTGGTAAACAGAGGCGTGTGGGGTAAGGAAACTTGCCCAACGTTTCGCCCCCTGCCCAGGAATCAAACCCAGGTCCTTTCGCTTGCGAGGCGAGGGCTCTAACCACTGAGCTACAGGGGTCCACTCCAAGCTCCAGGTGGGATGCACGGAATTCTCAGTTTGGTTCGGAGACTCTTAAGCACAGTGATGGGTTTCCGCATACGTCAGATACTCGGCTGGGGAAAAAAGTAGTGCCTTTCACGTCCAGAGGACGTCCCAAGGCAGTGAAGTGGAGAGTCAATTGATTGAAGAGAACGGCTAAAGACACATTTGTAATAGCGCCTTTCGTGTCGGGAGGACGTCCCAAGGTGCTGGACAAAAGCTCTCGGAAGGGTACCTGATGCTGCACAGTTAGCTGGGCTGGGACTTCAGTGCGTGTCTAGCTTTACTGCTATCACAGTGACGTGCTGACCACGTTACAGGGCTAGAGAACGGTCCTTACCGAGGGAGTGTGGATGTCAGGTGGGGTGGACATGTCTCCAAATAGCTCCAGGCCATCGAGGCTCTGTCAAAATAAACAGCCCGGTTACTGCAGGAACACCGCACGCTCATTAACTAGGTGTGAGAATAATAATAAAAAAAATCTTGTAATAATCCCTGCATTTGATACGGCGTCTTATCACGTCTTTGAGACGTCTCAAAGCGCTTCACAGAGTGTGTATACTGTAAAGTGTAGTGACTGTGTGTTTTGTGGGCGAAACGAGGCAACCAATTGCGCACAGCGTCGTCCCACAAACACTCGCGGATTGAGTGACCAAATTATGATTATGTTTTTTTTAGAAGGGATTATTACCCCCGGAAAATGATCCGCCAATTGACTAACAACCGGGTTCCTACTCACTGCTGGTAAACAGAGGTGTGTGGAGTAAGGAAACCCGCCCGACGTCTCGCCCCCGGCCCGGGAATCAAACCCAGGTCCTCTCGCTTGCGAGGCCTCTAACCCCTGAGCTACAGGCCTCTGTGATAGTGTCAGAGTTTGCTCCGCAAGTTACACACAGCAAGGCCCTCTAAAGAGCTGTGAGGCGAGTGGGAGAATCATCAGTCGGGTCAGAGGAAAACTCCCTCCTCTTTTTGAATAGCAAACGTCCACCCGACAGTAAACGGTTTAAGGTCTCATCTGAAGGACAACGTCTCTGACAAGGCTCAGAATATAATACTTGTATTTGTTATTGTGCTTCATCAGTTCGGAAGGACACCTCAAAGTGCTTCACAGTACTCACTGTGAAATGTAGTGACTGTGTATTTGTAGGCAATTGTAAAGGCAGCACAGATTGTGCAGAGTGACGTGACACCAACAGCCACAAAATGAGGGACCAATTCTATCTGGGGATTGTTGGCCAGGACACCGAGACAGAGAGAGAGGAACTCCCTTCTCTTTTGGAATAACGTCCACCTGAACAGGCTGCCGGGACCTCGGTTTAATGTCTCATCAAAAGGACGGGGGTGTGAAGGGGTGGGGGTTGAACCCACAGCATTTACACTCAGGGGAGCTGGCAATGGGGAAGACAATCTGAGAAACCTTCCCGCCCCCATCAACAACAACAACAACAACTTACACTCTTCACTCCCCTTGTCGTCTTCTGGTCATCGAAGCTTAGCAGCGCTCCACTGCCGTTCTGTAAGAGCAAACATTGAGTGAGTACATGGCGGGTGTGGGGGGGGTCTGTGGGGGAGGTCAGGGGCCATTGTTCAGTATATGCTATGGCGCCGTGGAGTCCTGTGGCTTTGTGGTTAGAGCCCTCGCCTCGCAAGCGAGAGGACCCGGGTTCATTCCCAGGCAGGGAGGAACCTGAGGCAAGTTTCCTCGCTCCACACGCCTCTGTTTACCAGCAGTCAGTAGGAACCCGGTTGTTAGTCGATTGGCGGATCACTTTCTGGGATAACAATCCCTCCAAAAGAAGTCACTCACTTCACGGCTGTTTGCGGAACACTGTTCTGTGCAATTGGCTGCTGTGTTTTGCCCACAAAATATACACTCGAGTCACTTGACAGTATATTCTGCAAAGCCTTATGAAATGTCTCAATGACGTGATAAGGTGCTCTCTCAAATGCAAGGATTATTACATTGTTAGATTATTATAGTTATATTATTAAATTGTAATTATGTTTTATTATACACAACTAATTATATTATTAAATTGTAATTATATTACATTGTAATTATATTATTACATTGTAATTAGATTATTAAATTGTAATATTAGATCATTAAATTGTAATTATTAGAGTATTAAATTATAATTATATTATTACATAAGATTACATTGAATTAGTAGATTATTAAATTGTAATATTAGATTGTTAAATTGTAATTATTATAGTATTAAACTGTTTAATACTATTTAGTAGATTATTAAATTGAAATTATTGTTATTATAGGCAGTCCCCTGCCTGGCAATGGAATGTTAGCCAAGTCGTAGCTCAAAGTCCTCAGGTAGGATTGAACCCACAACCTCCTGGTTCTGGAGCCAGTTGTGACCCACATCTCCCACGGTGACCGCTGGCAGTGAATGCTGGACACCGGGTGGGTGGGATTGCATTTCACGTTCATGTCGGCCTCAACAATGAGATGTTTTCCTCAGCTGACAAACCCCTAGATCCTTGTCCCCCCCCCGCCACCCCCCCCAAACACTGACCCACCATCATTCCCCCAATAATAATAATCCTTGCGTTTGATACAGCGCCTTATCAAGTCTTTGAGACGTCTCAAAGCGCTTCACAGAATATAGTAGTGTGTAGCGACTGTATATTTTGCGAAGCAAGTGCTCTAACCACTGAGCTACAGGACTCCACATCACATCCCTCCCCCCCGCACAGTGTCAGAGAATAACACATGAGGTCACACCTGCTGGGAACTGATGATGGTTTTATTAAGGGTTTGGATTAAACAAGATGTTCTCAGACATCACACCGCATTGAATCCCAAACAACCAGCAAACCCATCAGATAGCGTGAGCCTTGACTTCTGCTGCCCCAAGTGAGAGCGAGAGATAAACGACTTGTTGATCCCAGCGCCTCTCACGTTAGGAGGACGTCTCAAAGTGCTTCACAGGATTTCTAGGAGTCCTGTCTCGTGTAGTGGTTAGAGCCCTCGCCTCGCAAGCGAGAGGACCTGGGTTCGATTCCCGGCCAGGTGAAACGTTGGGCAAGTTTCCTTACTCCGCGCACCTGATAATAATCCCTCAAGAAAAAAAAATAATAATTTGGCCACTCAATCCACGACTGCTTGTGGGACGCTGCCGGGAATCGAACCCAGGCCTCTCGCTTGCGAGGCGAGTGCTCTAACCACTGAGCTACAGGACTCCACTAATAATTTATTATTATCATTATAAAGTGTAGTGACTGTTTCCCAGGTGGCTGGGAAACTGGTTCAGAGCAAGACTGGGGTGGTACGGGGGGAGGAAGGTGGCAAGTCCCCTTTAAAGCATAACAGATGGTGAGAGATGCCACCGCGTTCCTACCTCGGTGGATGTATTTCCATCAACCTGAGAGAGGGAGAGAGAGACAGAAAAAAAAAAGACACACACATGTCAACCACTGGTGGTCTCACACAACACTCCCAAACAAGACTCAACTAGGAATCCTCCCCCTCAGCTCCCGTTACCCCCGCAGCCAAAGCCCTAACTAACGGGGAGGGTGGTCCTCGCTGGACAAGCAGCGGGAAAGCTGGTCAGACAGTGATCTCAATGGCCGAGCTGTGTGGGTTTAGCGGGTTACACTCCAGCAACAACACGTTACATTTACACATCACCTTTCACGTCAGGAGGACGTCCCAAGGCGCTGGACAGTCAGGGATTTGGACCCGAGGGGTAGGAGGGCAGTCGAAGAGGAGGGTCTTGAGACTCAGCTACCCCTAGCAATTACCCCAACACACACTCTGGGGTCCCCAAGTCTTGGCTCTTGCCAACGTGTGGCTAATACTCTCTGGGATTACGGTCGGCAAGTGCAGTGTAGAGAGAGAGAGCTCGGGGGCTGTGCCCAGGAACCTAACTGACGGTATATAGAGTACGGGGGACACTTTAAGGTCTCAGCTCAGAGTTGGGGGAGTGGTGGGGGGTGTGTGAGGGGTTGCATTGTGAATCAATATATTGGAGTTGGAGTGACGAGACTCTCTAACACAGAGTGAGTGTGAGTGTCTCTCCCCCACACGCTACCAGCAGGACACCTTGAAGTTCCTCACCTCTGCTGCCCACCCTGTACCCCCTCGCCTCCCCCCCCCCTCACCTCTGGCTTGGATTCCGTTTCCTCCTTTTTCTTCATGTTGAAGATCAATTGGAAAAGATCTTTCAGATCCACCACCAGTGACTCCGCCTGAGGCAATAGGTCATAATAATAATCCTGGCATTTGATACAGCGTCTTATCACATCTTCGAGACGCCTCAAAGCGCTTCACAGAATATACTGTAAACTGTAGTGACTGTATATTTTGTGGGTGAAACACGGCAGCCAATTGCGCACGGCAGAGTCCCACAAACACTCGTGGATTGAGTGACCCCATTATTATTATTATTAATTTTTTTTGAAGGGATTAACACCCCCGGAAAAGTGATCCGTCAATTGACTAACAACCGGGTTCCTACTGACTTCTGGTAAACAGAGGCGTGTGGAGTGAGGAAACTGCCCAATGTTGCGCCCCCTGCCCGGGAATCGAACCCAGGTCCTCTCGCTTGCGAGACGAGGGCTCTAACTACTGAGCTACAGAACTCTACAGTTTAGGGGGGGTGGAGGGGAGGGGGTGGAGGGGGAGTGAAGAGAGATTGGGAGAGAACAAGTTGACTGTGTGACCAGCAATGAATACCCACCTGTTGAGCAGTCTTGATGGCCAGGAACTGGTGCTGCCCCGAAGCTCCACACACATAACCAAATGCACGGTTATCAGTAACATCCCGAGCGATGAAGGAGATCTTGTCCACAGAGTGTTCGTGCTCTATCACCTGAGAGAGAGAGAGAGTCAGTGACTCCAATCCCTGGAGAAAGGGGACATTGCAGAGGTAGGGGGGAGCAAATCCATGGAGGGCTTTAGTGGGGAGCGCACACACACACACACATACAGCCACTCAGAGACACAGACGCACACAGTCCCATACACATGCACAGCCATCCAGAGACACAGACACACACCCACACTGAGATACAGACACACACCCACACACAGCCACAGCCGCCCAGCACTTACTCCTGTCTTCTCATCGATGATCCTGATGCCCCCCATGGAGATGTTAACCCAGATTCTCTGCTTGTGCAAACCTTGAGAGCGAGCAGCGATAGCCATTCCCTGGGACAACAGAGACAACGTTACTGTCCATACAGACCCTCACCCACCTCACACCCCCACAGCCCCTCACCCACCTCACACCCCCACAGTCCTCCCCCCCCACCACACCCGCAGCCCTGCCCGCCCACACAGCCCCCCGCATGCCCCCCCCGCCCCCGCATGTCCACCCACACCCCCCCCCCGCCCCTGCACACACACAGCCCCACCCCTCACACACAGCGCCCCCCACCCCTCACACACAGCGCCCCCCCTTGCCCGGAAATCGAACCCAGGCCTCTCGCATGCGAGGCGAGGGCTGTAACCACTGAGCCACAGGGACTCCATCTAACAGCAGAGTCTCCTCACTTTGAGCTTCATCATGGAGTCCTGGCACATCTTGTCCCCCCGAGCCTCGCACACCTCATCCACACCGATCAGTTTGGCCTTATACCTCACCCCATCACCCTTAAAGCGGGTCAGCAGGTACTCCTCGGTCTTCTCCGACCCTGACAGACGACAAGGCACTCACTTAGCCCCTCGCTACAGCGAGAGAGAGACAGAGACACATGTCTGACACACACACACACCCGTCACCGTGACCAACCGGGTGTCTGTCACACACAAACCCATCACCGTGACCAGCCGGGTGTCTGTCACACACACACACACACCCATCACCGTGACCAGCCGGGTGTCTGACACACACACAAACCCATCACCATGACCAGCCGGGTGTCTGACACACACACAAACCCATCACCGTGACCAGCCGGGTGTCTGACACACACACACAAACCCATCACCGTGACCAGCCGGGTGTCTGACACACACACACACCCATCACCGTGACCAGCCGGGTGTCTGACACACACACAAACCCATCACCGTGACCAGCCGGGTGTCTGTCACACACACAAACCATCACCGTGACCAGCCGGGTGTCTGACACACACACAAACCCATCACAGTGACCATTCGGGTGTTTGATACACACACAAACCATCACCATGACCAGCCGGGTGTCTGTCAAACACACAAACCCATCACCATGACCAGCCGGGTGTCTGACACACACGCAAACCCATCACCGTGACCAGCCGGGTGTCTGACACACACACACACACACACACACACCCGTCACCGTGACCAGCCGGGTGTCTGACACACACACAAACCCGTCACCGTGACCAGCCGGGTGTCTGTCACACACACAAACCATCACCGTGACCAGCCGGGTGTCTGTCACACACACAAACCATCACCGTGACCAGCCGGGTGTCTGACACACACACAAACCCATCACCGTGACCAGCCGGGTGTCTGACACACACACAAACCCATCACCGTGACCAGCCGGGTGTCTGACACACACACAAACCCATCACCGTGACCAGCCGGGTGTCTGACACACACACAACCCCATCACCTTGACCAGCCGGGTGTCTGACACACACACACACACACAAACCCATCACCGTGACCTGTCGGGTGTCTGACACATACACACACACAAACCCATCACCGTGACCAGCCGGGTGTCTGTCACACACACAAACCCATCACCGTGACCAGCCGGGTGTCTGACACTCACACACACACCCGTCACCGTGACCAGCCGGGTGTCTGTCACACACACAAACCATCACCGTGACCAGCCGGGTGTCTGTCACACACACAAACCCATCACCGTGACCAGCCGGGTGTCTGACACACACACACCCATCACCGTGACCAGCCGGGTGTCTGACACACACACACACCCATCACCGTGACCAGCCGGGTGTCTGACACACACACACACCCATCACCGTGACCAGCCGGGTGTCTGACACACACACAAACCCGTCACCGTAGCTCAAGAGTCTCCAAACTAAGCTGAAAATTCCCTCAGTTTGGGGAATCTCAGATTGTTGGCCACACACACGAGCAGAGATGGTCACATTTTACACAGGAAATAATAAAAACAACAATAATCCTTGATACGGCCCCTGATCACATCTTCGAGACGTCTCAAAGCGCTTCACCGAATATACTGTAAAGCGTAGTGACTGTGCATTTTGTGGGCGAAACGCAGCAGCCAATTGCGCACAGCAGCGACCCACAAACAGCCGTGGATTGAGTGACCAAATTATCATTATTAAAAAACATTTTTTTGTGAGGGATTATTGCCCCCGGGAAAAGTGAATCCGCCAGTCGACTAACAACCGGGTTCCTACTGACTGCTGGGATCGAACCCTCTTCGCTGACACTGCCCCACACACAGCGGACAACAGTCACCGAGGTTACAGTTGGCAGCCGACTGAGCTTTGAACCAATATAAAGGCCAGACCCGCTGCACCCTCTAGCGGGATCGCTCATTATTAACTGCAGTGTTGTGGGTGAACGCAGAAGCCAATTAATAATAATAATAATTTTTTCAGGGGAGGATTTATTATTCCCAGAAAGTGATCCGCCACTCGACTCACATCCCGGTTCCTACCGACTGCTGGTAAACAGAGGTGTGTGGAGTAAGGAAACTTGCCTAAGGTTTTGCTCTGCCCGGGAATCGAACCCGGGTCTCTCTCTTGCGAGGGAGGGCTCTAACCCCCGAGCTACAGGACTCCACTCAAACACGTGGTAAATAATGGGACATCGCTGGGTGTTGAGAGTCGGTGACCGCACTTCATAGGGAATCCTGTGAAAGGTGCGAATCTAATTCAATATCATTTTATTACAATAATAAATGTGATATCGCCACCTTATCACATCACGAGTGTCTGAGCGCTTCACCGCATGTACTGTGCAGTGTAGTGACTATTGTGTAGGCGAATGTGGCGGCCATTTTGCTCACAGCGACGTCCCAGAAACAGCCGTGACGAGTGTATCTGGGGCACTGTCGGCCAGGACAACAGGAGAAACTCCCTTCTCCTTTCCTGTCAGTGTAGTGGGACCTTTCATGTCCTTTAAAAAACAGACAGGACTTTGGTTTAATGTCTTGTGCAAAGGGCGGCCTCTGGCAATGACCAACGTGTGGCTCAAACACACGGATTGGCGGCCATGTTCAGACAGTCACTGCACTTGACAGCAACTGTTGGAAAATCTCAATGAGGTGAGTAGGGACCACATCAAATGCAAGGATTATAGTCTTATGCCAGAGTTCATCACACAGAAGATATAGTTCAAGATCCTGGTCCTCACCTTTAAAGCCCTCCATGGCCTCACTCCCCCCATCTTTGCGTCAACCTAACCCCTACCATCCTGCCCGTTCCCTCTGCTCAGCGGGCTCTGCTTCATGTCCCGCACCTCGCCCTCTCCTTTGCCTCCTTCAAGACTGGTCTCAAAACCCTCCTCTTCGACAGTGCCTTTGGCACCCCCCCATCACCCCCTGCCCTCTACCCTCCCTGATCCCGACCCCCAGCTCGGGTCTGTGGGATGGAGTTCGAAAAGGTGGGGGCAGAGGCCGAAGGGTGGTGGAGGCGGGGGGGGTGGGGTGATGGGGTCGGGGAGCCTGGTGGGGGTGAGGACGGGGGTGATGGGGTCACGGAGCCTGGTGGGGGTGAGGATGGGGGTGATGGGGTCGGGGAGCCTGGTGGGGGTGAGGACGGGGGTGATGGGGTCACGGAGCCTGGTGGGGGCAAGGATGGGGGTGATAGGGTCATGGAGCCTAGTGGGGGTGAGGATGGGGGTGATGGGGTGGGGGTGAAGACGTGGGCTGCAGAGTTAGTTCTGGATGATCTACAGCCTGTGGAGGGAGGAGTTGGGGGCTGACAGGCAGGGAGGTGGTGTAGTCGAGCTGAAATGGGAAGAATGAGGGTTCAGCGGCCTGAGGGGTGAGGCAGTGGCAGAGCCGGGCGAGGTTGCGGAGGTGAGGGCAGACAGAGCGAGTTATCACACACACACACACACACACGCACACAGAGTCTGGTTTCATGTCAATTGACCTGGTTTGACCCACCTCGTTTTTTGTCCTTCTTGATCTTTGTGGGAGTGTCCCCCTGGGTGGGGGCTGGGGGGCTTGTCTGGGCAGGGGAGATGGGCAGGGCGGGGGTCTGGGCGGGGGCACTGGCCACTGAGGGGCCCCCAACGCTGATCTCTGGAACTTCAGACATGGTGATCTGGAGAGAGATAGAGAGAGACTGTGAGACACAGAGAGAGAGAGAGAGACTCAAAACTCCTACTTTCCCCCTCCTTCCCCATCTTCAGATAAAGCCTAAAGACCTCTCTCTTCAACGGTGCCTCCAGTCACCTCCCCCCAGTCTCGGAGTCATGCTCCGCCACTGTCGAGCGCTCTGGGACGCTGCCCTATATGACGGGCGCTGTTTAAAAGTTGTTGTTGTGATACACTGAGAGGGATGGAGAGAGAGAGATTATGGAGAGAGAGAGAGAGGAGATTGGCTTCCGTGACCTCTGGAGTCCAGTGGTTGAGAGACTTGTTACACGTACTCACTGGGATCTGAAAGACAAAGAGAGTGCGAGAGAGCGAGAGAGAGAGAGAGGGAAAGAGAGTGTGAGGGAAAGAGTTTGAGAACGAGAGAGAATGTGTGTGTGAGAGGCACTGGACATTGAAGGGCCCCTCAGAATAATTATTATTATCTTGTATTGAACAGTAGAACCAGGGGACATGGCCTGAGATTAAAGGGGGGAAATTCAGAGCAAATCTGCAGAGGAGGAACTTCAGGGAGCGAGGAGCAAATTTATGGAACAGGCTCCCTCGGGAGACGGACGCTGGGAGCAGAAAATGTCGTTCGTTTCGAGAACAAATGAGGTAGATTTCTGTTAGAAAATAACAGAGTATAGTTTGAGAACAAGACATGTCGAGCGACTGCCAGGATGGCGGAAGACGAAGGGCCTGGACCTTAGTCTTCCTTCTCAGTCTCGTCCTCGCCTTCAAAGCCCTCCACGGCTTAGCTCCTCCCTACCTGCTGACCCCATATCAACCTGTCGACCCACCCTCTTGAACTCCATCCCACAGTCCCCTCGTCTCGCTCCCTCCCTCCCTCGTTTCCTTCAAGGCACATCTCGAGACCCTCCTCTTTGATCGGGAACTTCGGTCACCCTCCTACCCCCACCCACCCTACTCTCCACCCCTCCCCGATCCCGACCCCCAGCTCGGGTCCAAATCCCTGATTGTCCAGCGCCTTGGGACCTCCTCCCGACTTGAAAGACTCCGTGTGAATGTCGTTTGCGTTGGTATTGTATGCTTTCCCCAAGCAAACTCTTTATGTTCTTAGATCAGGTGGACTATCCCAGCTCTCAAACACAAACCAGGCTGGTGTCAGGGGAGTGATTGTGGGGTTAATCCCATTTTATCACCATTTTCTGCGCTGAATAGTCACTCAGTCCTATTGCACTTCTAAAGGTGGAATAGATTGGTCTCATTAAGACATTTAATCGCAGGCAACTGTAGGTTAACGAGAGAGAGAGAGAGAGAGAGCGCACAGCAGGTTAAACCCACACTCTCTCTCCTCGCTGCCCGCGATAAACCTCACTGAACTCAGCCAGAGTTCAAACAATAATAATCCTTGCATTCGACCCTCGAGACGTCTCAAAGCGCTTCACAGGATATTAGTAAAGGGAATCGACTGTACTTTGTGGGTGAAACACAGAGGCCAATTGCGCACAGTAGCGTCCCATAAACAGCTGTGGATTGAGAGACACAATTTTATTTTGGGGGCTATTACCCCCAGAAAGTGATCCTACAGATTGCTGGTAAACAGAGGAGTCAGGAAACTTGCCCAGTGTTTCGCTCCAACACAGGAAACAAACCCAGGTCCTCTCACTTGGTGGCGAGGGCTCTAACCCCTGAGCTACAGGGCTCCACGATAAAAACCACAACAAAAAAAAAATCACCAACCTCAGGCTGAACAACTCAGCGTGCGGACATCAGTGAGTGACAGACCCCCAAATCAGGACCCCCAAAAATGGTGCACAGAGAGGTGGGGGGAGAGTGTTCAGACAGCGTTGGACAAGCACGCAACAGGATTAGACTCGACCAGACCAGGCGCGCGCGAGAGAGAGAGAGAGAGAGAAAACGAGAGCCTCCACTACATATTGGCTGTTCAAAGGTTAAAAGATACTCACTCGCTTTCAAAAAAAAACATCAACTTTCAGCATATTTGGGGGAAAAAAAACAGCGGGAAAAGTGCTGGAGCAGCACTAGAGCAAAGGTAATGAGTAGACTGTAGCCACAACAAGTCTTGAAAGCCAACTCTGATAATAATAAGCCTTGTGTTTGATACAGTCTTATCACGTCGCCACAGGATAGACTGGAAAGTGTAGTGACTGTGGATTTTGTGGGCGAAACGTGGCAGCCGACAACAACTTGCACTTATATCGCGCTCTCCACGCCGGGCGGCGTCTCGGAGCTTAACAATGGCGGCGGCCGAGCCAGGGGGGGAGGGGGAGGTGACCGTAGACGCGGTCGAAGAGGAAGGTCTTCAGGCGCGAACTGACGATGGGGAAGGAGAGGGCGAGGCCAAGGGGTGGAGGGAGGGAGTTCCACAGTTTCGGGGTGCAATGGCTGAAGGCGCGGCCACCGATGGTGGAGTGGAGGATTCGGGGGACGCGGAGGAGGCCGGAGCCAGTAGAGTGGGTACTGCTGTGGGGGGAGAGGAGGTTAGAGAGATGGAGGGGAAGGAATGGAGGGTTTAAACACTAGAGTGAGGATCTGGAAGTGGATCCGCTCCGTGACAGGAGCCAGTGGGGTTTGGCCGGGACTGGAGTAATCGGGGACGGGGTTTGGTACGGGTGAGAATGCGGGCGGCGGAGTTTCAATGAGTTAGATTTTGTGGGCATGGAGGAGGGGAGACCGGCGAGGAGGGAGTTATTGTCGTCCAGCCGAGAGGTCACAAAGGCACAGACAAGGGTTTCGGCAGCTTTTGGGGTGAGGTATTGTCGGAGACGGGCAACGTGGCGGAGGTGGGAGAAAGCGGTGCTGGTCAGGGACTGGATGTGGGGGAGGAAGGACAACTGAGGATCGAACCTGACGCCTAAGTCACGCTCGGGTTCAGAGAGTTTTAAGGACAGGTCGGGTAGGTTGAGGAGGTCGGAACCGCGGGAGTGAAGACATCGACGGGAGCCAAAGGGTATGCCTTCCCATTCGGCACAGCAGAGTCCCACAAACAGCCATGGATTGAATGACCAAATTATTATTATTTTTTTTATTTTTGAAGGGATTATTACCCCTGGAAAAGTGATCCACCAATCGACTAACAACCGGGTTCCTACCGACTGCAGGTAAACGGAGGCGTGTGGAGTGAGGAAACTTGCCCAAGGCTTTGCCCGGCCCGGGAATCGAACCCAGGTCCTCTCGCTTGTGAGTCGAGGGCTCTAACTCCTGAGCTACAGGACTCCACGGCCATAGGAGTGAGAGAGCGAGCGAGTTAATACAGAGAGTGCCTCACAGAGAGCAGCCTCAGCCAAACTGGACTGTGTTTGGAGACTGAGAGACTCAAACCCAGACCTTGAACTTTATAATTATAAGGTGGATTAAGGGAGACTGAGGTCAGACAATGTGGTATTAAATGGGAGTTTTCCCCCTCATTTCTCCCCCCCCACCTACCGTTGTAAAACTATTTTGGATACAAGTCATCCTCATATCAAGGAGGCACACAGCTCCGCAATTTAACCCTTTCCTGCTTTTCCCATCGACAACAATCTCACAAGATTTCACTACTCTTTTCTTACTCTCTTCCCGTCCTGTCTGTGCTGGTGCTCGCTTCGCTCCTCCAGTGGAGCTCTCTACTCTAACCCCATTTCCCCCATAATGATACGATAATGATCTCTATCCATTTCCCTGAAAATGCCATTGAACCATTCATTAACGCAGCCAGTTTCCATTGCAGAAGCTGGTTAATTTTAACCCAGTTACTAAAAATTAACCAGGAACAAACAGGAATTGCTTCTATTTGTCTCCAGCCTTGTAACTTGAACCAAAGATAAGGGGAGGATGGTGGGGCAGAGGGGAGAGAGAGACAATCCTTGCATCAGACGGTCTATAATAATAATACTTGCATCTGATATAGCAATTTACCACATCTTCAAGACGTTGCAAAGCTCTTCACAGAATATAAAGTGTAGTGACTGTATATTTTGTGGGTGAAAAGTGGCAGCCAATTGCGCACAGCAGCGTCCCACAAACAGTCGTGGATTGAGTGACCAAATCAGAATTTTTTTTAAATGGATTATTACCCTCGACAACGAAATCCGCCAATCAACTAACAACATGGTTCCTGCTCACTGCTGGTAAACGAGGCGTGTGGAGGAAGGAAACTTGCCTAAGGTTTCGCTCTGCCCGGGAATCGAACCCAGGTCCTCTCGCTTGCGAGGGCTCTAAACACTGAGCTACAGGTCTAATGGTGAGACTTCTCAAAGCACTTCTCAGGCTCACTGTAAAGTGTAGTGACTTGCTTTGTGGGTCAACATGGCAGCCCATAATAATAATCCTTGCATTTGGTATTGCGCCTTATCACGTCGGCGAGACGTCTCAAAGCGCTTCACGGAAGACAGTATATAGTAAAGTGGAGTGACTATTTTGTGAGCACACAGCAATGTCCCACAAAGCTAGGAAGTCAATGAGAGATTTTAATGGGGGAAAGGTAGTCAGCCAGGACACCAGGAGAGAGATACAGGGCAAAGGCGGCTGATTGAAGTTGAGGTACAGATCAGCCATGATCTTATAGAATGGCGGAACAGGCTCCAGGGGCTGAATGGCCTCCTCCTGTTTCTATTTTCCTACCTTTGAATAGCGCCACGAGATCTTTAACGTCTGCCTGAACAGGGCACAGACGAGGAGTGAGGTTTAAAGTCTCACCCGAAAGATGGCGTCTCTGACAATGCGTCTCTCTCTCTCTGCCCCCAGCGCTGTACTGGAGTGTCAGCCTGGACTGAGAGCTCAGAGACCCCGACGTGGAGGTGGGGCAGGGGGGCTTGAACCGACAACCTCCGAACTCCAAGGAGGGCACAAAACTACAAGAATTTCAGCATAGAAAGGGACCATTCGGTCCATCATGTCTGGTCATTCAGCTGCTTTCAGTTACCAGCCGCCCAGGCTGCCAGCGCAAAGGGGCTTAGGCGACAGAAAGGCAAACAGCTCAGGGTATAAATAAGCTCCCAGCTCGAGGCTGCTGTTTTTAGAAACACAAGTCAGTCAATAAGTATAAAAGTGCTGTAAATAGCAACCACAAGGCTTACTGTATTGTTACAAGTCAATCCCCTCAGACACACACACAAACCCATCACCGTGACCAGCCGGGTGTCTGTCACACACACAAACCCATCACCGTGACCAGCCGGGTGTCTGACACACACACAGACCCATCACCGTGACCAGCCGGGTGTCTGTCACACACACACACCCATCACCGTGACCAGCCGGGTGTCTGTCACACACACACAAACCCATCACCGTGACCAGCCGGGTGTCTGACACACACACACACCCATCACCGTGACCAGCCGGGTGTCTGTCACACACACACACACCCATCACCGTGACAAGCCGGGTGTCTGTCACACACACACAAACCCATCACCGTGACCAGCCGGGTGTCTGTCACACACACAGACCCATCACCGTGACCAGCCGGGTGTCTGACACACACACACACACACACCCATCACCGTGACCAGCCGGGTGTCTGACACACACACACACCCATCACCGTGACCAGCCGGGTGTCTGTCACACACACACAAACCCATCACCGTGACCAGCCGGGTGTCTGTCACACACACAAACCCATCACCGTGACCAGCCGGGTGTCTGTCACACACACATTCGACTTATGTTTTTGAAATGTCTCAAAGGGTTTCACAGAACATACTGTAAAGTGAATTGACTGTATATTTTGTGGAAGCCAATTGCACACAGCAAATGTCCCACAAACAGTCATGGGTTGAAGTAACCAAATTATTATTATTATTTATTTTGAAGGGATTATTACCCCGGAATAGTGATCCGCCAATCAACTAAGAACCAGGTTCCTACTGACTACTGGTAACCAGAGGTGTGTGGAGTAAGGAAACTTGCCCATGTTTCGCCCCCTGCCCGGGAATCAAACCCGGGTCCTCTCGCTTGCGAGGCGAGGGCTCTAACCACTGAGCTACAGAACAACAACAAGATTCCATTTATAGAGCGCATTTCACGTCGGGAGGATGTCCCAAGGCGCTGTACAGTTGGGTCAGGACCCAAGCATTGGAGAACTGGTCAGGGTGAGGGGAGGGAAGGGAGGGAGCGAGGAGGGGGTAGAGAGTTGGGAGCTGAAGGCTGAAGGTCAAAGAGAAAGGTCTTGAGACCGGCCTTGAAGGAGGAAAGGGAGGAAGTGGCGAAGGCACTGGGGGATAGAGTTCCAGAGCCTCGGGGCTGAGAGGCTGAAGGCCACCGTTGGTAGGGCGGTTGGGGCGCGGGATGTGGAGCAGACCGGAGCCAGAGGAACGGAGGATATGGGCAGGTAGGGGGATAGTAGGTCAGAGAGGTAGGAGGGAGCGAGGCCATGAATGGCCTTGTAGGTGAGGATGAGGACCTTGAATTCAATCCTCTGGGGGATGGGGAGCCAGTGGAGGCGAGCGAGGGCGAGGGTGGGAGTGATGTGGTCGCTCCTCTACAGGGAAAAGAGAGACAGACAGAGAGATACAACAGGCAGAAGGTTATGCACTTCCTCTCACACACAGAGAGAGGGGTTTGCCCAGAGACAGAATGGGCTGAAGGGCCTTCAGTTACAGAGTCTGAAATACCCCATTTCCTTTGAAAGGTGACTCTGTTGCAGAAAACCACATGATTTACACACAGTGCCAGTGCAGACTTCCAAAACACACAACCTCCCCCACTTCGCCTCCCCCCCCCACCACCCACACACGCACATATACATGCTCCCCCAGGAGAAGATAAATATTCGAAGCATGTTCTCGTCAGCTGGGCCTTGGGGAGGGGTGGTGGGGGGGGGCATGGGGGAGAGAGAGAGGAAGTGCATAACCTTCTGCCTGTTGTGTTTAGTCTGTAGTTCAGCACTGAGATTAGAGAGCTCCAGTGGGGGAGCGAGCCCCAGCACAGACGTGATGGGGGGGGGGTGGGGGAGAAGAGAGAGAGAGAGAGAGCAGGGAATAGGGTTAGAGTAGAGAGCGCCAGTGGGGGAGCGAGCACCAGCACAGACACGATGGGGGAAGAGGAGGAATGGAGTTAGAGAAGAGAGCTCCGTGGGTGTGTGGGGGTGTGGGGGGGGGGGGGAATAAATTATTTTCTGGTTAGTAGGGTGTGACCCTCTGGCAGGAGAGCACATTCCAATCCAGACAGGAATTTCCTGGTGTCGGTGACACACACGCACACATGTGGAACTCGGTTTGGTTACTCTAATCCCTGCATTTGATACAGCGCCTTATCATATCTTCGAGACGTCTCAACGCGCTTCACAGGATACACTGTAAAGTGAAGTGACTGCATGTGTTGCGGGCGCAACGCGGCAGCCAATTGCGCACAGCAGCGTCTCCGCAAACAGCCGTGGATTGAGCGACCCTTTTTTTTTATTTGGAAGGGATTATTACCCCCAGAAAAGCGATCCGCCCATCGACTAACAACTGGGTTCCTACTGACTGCTGGTAAACAGGGCCGTGGAGTAAGGGAACTTGCCCAACGTTTTGCCCAGGCCAAGCCCAGGCGAGGGCTCTAACCACTGAGGTGCAGGACGTGTCGAGACGACTGGCTGAGCAAAGAGAGAGAGGAACCTGCGCTCCCTGCCCTATCCTTTGCTCCTTCGACCCCACTGGTCCCAGGTGTTAGTGGGCAGGACACCCTACAGGTGCGGGGAATCACAGTAAAGATTAGCTGTTCGTATCAGGTGTTTTGAAATCAGTTACCAGGAGACTCCAGCCATAAACCGCTGAGGTCACAACCTGGAGAGCTCTCCCCAGCCCACAGTCAAACCCCCTCCTCAACAACCTTTTCCCTGAGGTTCTGCCTCCCCTCCCCTCCCGCCCCGCAACATCGTCAGGCTCCGCCACTGCCTCACCCCTCAAGCCGCCAAGTTCATCGCAGCTCGACTACGCCAACGTCCTGCTTGTCGGCCTCCCCAACTCTTCCCCTCCACAGGCTGGAGATCATCCAGAATTTACTCTGCAGCCCGTGTCCTCGCCCGCACCAGGCTCCTTGACCCCAACACCCCCGCCCGACTCCACTGGCTCCCCATCCCCCAGAGGATAGAGTTTAAAATCCTCGCCCTCGCCTTCAAAGCCCTCCACGACTTTGCCCCCTTCCCTATCTCTGTGACCTGCTGACCCCATATCAACCTGTCCTCTCCCTCCGCTCAGAAGGCTCTGGCCCCCACCCTACCATCAGCACTCGGGCCGTCAGCCTCTCAGCCCCCACCGATTGGAACTCCATCCCACAGTCCCTTCCCCTCGCTCCCTCCCTGACCTCCGTCTCAAGACCCTCCTCGTTGACCGTGGCCTTCGGTCACCCTCCTACCCCCGACCCTCCCTGCCCTCCACCCCTCCCTGATCCCGACCCCCAGCTCTGATCCAAATCCCTGACGGTCCAGCGCCTTGGGATGTCCTCCTGACATGAAAGGGGCTGTGCCAATATCTTTTGAGGCAGAACCAGGGCAGATTGGGGGTGGTCGGGGGGGGGGCGTTGGGCACTCAAACCTTCTCACACTGCAGCCCGGCTCTCACACCCGGACTGGGGGAGAGAGAGAGAAAGAGAGAGAGGGGGAAAGAGAAAATAATAACTGTTAGAGGCAATTTGAGACACACTTTGAGGAGTGGAGGCAAGTTAGAGACCCGGGAGGCAACCGTTCTTGAGAGCAGGGCTGAGCGGCTAAGAGATTGCTCACCCCTTGGGGGGTCCTAGCGGAAGCAGGCGTCTCAGAGAGAAAGGGAGAGAGGGAAAGGAAAAGAGAGAGATACAGAGAGAGAGGGTGTGTGTAACACAAGAGCTGACAGACAGAGTGAGGCAGAGGGGAGAGAGGCACAGAGAGAAACACACACACACACAAAAAAAGTGAGAGAGAGAGACGGAGAGAAAGACACACACAACCAGAGAGGAGAGGGGAGAGCGACAGGACAACAGCACAAGAGAGGGTTCAGGCTGGGACAGGCAGAGGGGTAGGAGGAGGGGGAGAGAGAGAGAGACAGAGACAGACGGACAGACAGAAAGAGAGAGAGAGAGACACACACACACACACACACACACACACACACACACACACAGAGTGTGTAACAAGTGCTGTCACCAGGCTGGGACGAGACGAGACACTTACTGGAGTGGTCAGAGGTGGTCTTGTGGCCAGAGGTGGGGTTCAGGCTGTGGGGGGGTCAGGTTGGCAGATGTTCGCTGGGGGTGGGGAGGGGGGTGTTGAGCCTCGGGGTGGGTGGGTGGTNGGGGGACCCCCAGAGCCGCTCAGAGATCAGGCTAATCACAGTCTGTGACTGAAGGAGGCAGGAATCTGCCCGAGAGCTGTCAACATCCAGCCCCAATCCCGGCGGCTCAGCCGCGGTTCCCGTTAACCCCGCCATTGCCAGGCTCCCACGCAGCGGTTCCCGTTAACCCCGCCATTGCCAGGCTCCCACGCAGCGGTTCCCGTTAACCCCGCCATTGCCAGGCTCCAACAACTATTCCCGTTAACCCTGCTGGAATTTTCCAGGCGAAAGAAGGCCAAGTTCCATCCAGTTTGCCTTCCCATCCTGGCAGTCGCTTGACATGTTATGTCCCAAATCAAATACCGCACCCCCCCCCCCCAGATAGGTTTCCTTAACAGAAATCGACCTCATTTTTCTTTCTTGAAAGGATCAACACTTTCTGCTTCCACCCAGGGAGCCCGTTTCATACGTTTACTCTTCCCATTAACCCCACAAGTCCTGTGGCTCAGTGGTTGGAGCACTCGCCTCGCAAGCGAGAGCATCTGGATTCGATTCCCGGCAGGACGAAATCTTAGGCAAGTTTCCTTAGTCCACACGCCTCCGTTTACCTAACAGTAAGTAGGAACTCGGTTGTTAGTCGACTGGTAGATCTCGGCTCTCCTCTGCCCCCCCACCTCGGGCTCCCCTCGCCCCCCACCCCTCCCCCCCCACTCGCCACACCTCTCAATACCATGGTAAAGACACAAGCATTTACACTGTAGAAACCTCGGGAATCAGAGCCGGGGGGGGGGGTGTGGGAGCGTGTGGGTCGAGGAGAGACTTACATTCCAGACTCTTGGATGCAACGTTACAGCAGGTCACCAGAGCAACGCACGCTTAACCCCTTCCTTCCAGGGTTTAACCAACAACTCTAACAGCATTTGACGCAGCACTTTACCGTGTCTTCGAGACATCTCAAAGCGCTTCACAGGGCACACCGGAAAGTGTAGCGACTGCATTTTGTGGGCGAAACGCAGCAGCCAATTGGGGACAGCAGCGTCCCGCAAACAGTCGTGGATAGAGTGAACGATTTTTTTGTACAGAAAGGGGTTATTACCCCCAGAAAAGCAATCCGCCAATCGACTAACAACAGGGTTCCTAATTACTGCCGGTAAACAATTGAATACTTCTTAGGTCAGGGGATCAAGGGATATGGGGCAAGGGGGCGGGTAATGGGGGTTGAGGTACAGATCAGCCATGGTCTTATAGAATGGCGGAACAGGCTGGAGGGACTGAATAGTCCTCCATGCCTCCCCATGCTGTGAGGAGCGAGGCTAACATAACATAGAGGAGCAGGAGGAGGCCATTCGGCCCTTTGAGCCTCTGCCCCGCCATTCAATCATAGCTGATCTTCTAATCTAACTCCGGCTAATAACCTGACGCTGCCTTATCCCCATATCCCTTAATCCCTTTTGCAATAAGAAATCTATCTATCTCAGTCTTGAATATGTTCAAGGACTGAGCGTCAACAGCCCTTTGGGGTAGTGAGTTCCATACATTCACCGCCCTTTGAGTTGAAGAGGCTGAGCTGCAGGTTAGGTCTGGGAGGGGCTGTGCCGGCTGGTGACTGGTCAGCTGTACACAGTGTAGTCCTTGTGTGGTTGCAGCCCGGGGCCATCAGCCCCATTAGCCCTCGCCCACGACCTGGCTGTGCCCATGTGCAAACCATTACTGAGCATTAAACCCTCAAACCTCAACACAACAGCATATACACAGCCCAGCCACTGTGTGGGAGTGTGAACACACACCACACGCACACACACACTCACAGGGTGGGCTGCAGAGTATCACACACACAGGGTTAGAGAGTCACCTACACACACACAGGTTAGAGTGTGTGTGTGTGTGTGTGTGAAACCCCTGCCCCCACACGCACATACACACAGCCCAGCACACCGTGCACACACACGCACAGTGCAAGAGTGTATAAACATGTCCCCACCCCCACTACACACTCACTGTGACACTCTCCCCATGAACCAAAATAATAATAGTGAGGGGTAGGGGAGAGGCCGGGGACCATACATGTGGTTGAAGAAATAACAACAATAATATTGATAATAATAATCCTTGCAGTTGATATACTTGGAGATCTCTTGGAGCCTCACCATCACCCCAACAAAGCCATCTCGGACCATCACTTAATCTTCCTCAATCCCTCTCCCCACCATCACCCAACCCACCTCCATCTCCTACCGCCCCAGGGAAAAAATCCCCCCCCTCTGTCTCGGCTGCCTTGGAGTCATCTGAACTCCTTCCCCTCTGGACTTCCTTCCGTAATGACCTATCCTCCTCGATCACTCTTCTCCACAGCTCCCTCTCTTCTACTCTCAATTCCCTCACTCCCCTCTCTTCCAGAACTGTCTCCTACTCATACAAATCACCCTGATACACCATCCACCTCCGCTCCCTTAAAGCCCAGGCGTGTTATGCTGAGCGCACTTGGCTTAAATCAAACCTAACTGTCCATCGGCAGATCTGGCTGGACCATGTCAAATCCTACCGCTCCACCCTCGCCTCCGCTAAATCATCGTTCTTCTCCAAGACAATCTTGGAGACTAAGGACAACAACAAAATTACATTTGTAAAGCGCCTTTCACATCGGGAGGATGTCCCAAGGCGCTGGACAGACAGAGTTTCAGACCCGGGAATCGGGGAGGGTGGGGTCAGGGTGGCAGAAGGCCTGCCCGCCAATAGTGGGGCGAGCGAGGTGAGGGACATGAAGCAGGCCGGAGCCCGCTGAGCAGAGAGAGTGAGCAGGAGGGTAGGGGGTTAGGAGGTGGCAGAGGTCAGGGGGAGCAAGACCATGGAGGGCTTTGAAGGTGAGGAGTAGGATCTTGAACTGTATCCTCTGTGTGATGGGAAGCCGGTGGAGTCGGGTGAAGATGGGGGTGATAGGGTCACAGAGTCTGGTGGGGACGAGGATGGGGGTGATAGGGTCACGGAGCCTGGTGGGGGCGAGGATGGGGGTGATAGGGTCACGGAGCCTGATGGGGGCAAGGATGGGGGTGATGGGGTCACGGAGCCTGGTGGGGGCAAGGATGGGGGTGATGGGGTCGGGGAGCCTGGTGGGCGTGAGGATGGTGGTGATGGGGTCACGGAGCCTGGTGGGGGTGAGGATGGGGGTGATGGGGTCGGGGAGCCTGGTGGGGGTGAGGATGGGGGTGATGGGGTGGGGGAGAGGACACGGGCTGCACAGTTAGTTCTGGATGATCTGCAGTCTGTGGAGGGAGGAGTTGGGGGCCGACAAGGAGGGAGTTTGCATAGTCAAACCTCGATGTAATGAAGGTGTGTATGAGGGTCTCAGGGGCTTGCGGTGTGAGACAGTGGGGGAGTCAGGCGATGTTGCGGAGGTGGGAAAAGGCAGAGCGGGTCAACCCCAGGTTCCTCTTCTGCATCACCAACTGGCTCCTCCTCCACCCACCCACTCACACCTCGCCCATCCTCAACTCCAATGCCAACTGCGAGGCAATGCTGGAATCCAAAGTCAAGGGAATCCGCTCATCTGCCTTTGCCCTTCCGTCTACTATGCCCTCCTCATCTCCCCCAGGCCCTTCCCCACCCCTCCCTCCACACCTTCGAACCTGTCTCCCCCTCCTCTCTTACCACCACCATAATCCGCATGAAACCGACCACCTGCTCCCTCGACCCCATCCCTATACCCCTCCTTACCTCCCAGCTCCATCTCCTTGCCCCTCTACTCACTGACATCGTAAACCTCTCCCTGTCCTCTGGTACTGTTCCCACCCCATTAAAAACCGCCGTCATCACTCCTATCCTTAAAAAACCCTCCCTGAACTCTTCTCTGCTCTCTAACTACTGCCCCATCTCCAACCTCCCCTTCCTCTCCAAGGTCCTGGAACGAATTGTTGCTTCTCAGCTTCGCTCCTTCCTCTCCCGCCACTCCCTTCACAAACCCCTCCAATCAAGTCTCTGTGCCGCCCACAGCACAGAGACAGCTCTGGTCAAAGTGACAAATGACATTCTGTCCATCTGCGTCCAGGGCTCCCTCTGCCTCCTCGTCCTCCTTGACCCCTCTGCTGCTTTCGACACTGTCGACCACTCTATCCTCATCCACCGCCTCTCCTCCCACCTCAAGCTTCATGGCTTTGTCCTTGTCTGGTTCAGATCGTACCTCTCACACCTCCTGTACTTCATCTCCTCAAACGGTTTTTCCTCCAAACCCCCGCACCGTCTCATGTGGTGTTCCTCAGGGCTCTGTCCTTGGTCCCCTCCTCTTCAATATCTATGTGCTCCCTTTTGGTGACATCATCTGCGGACATGGGGTCAACTCCCACATGTATGTGGTTGACACCCAACTCTCCCTCTCTGCCCCCCCCTTGACTCCAGGACCCACTGCTGTCCTGACAGAATGTCTGTCAGACGTCAAGTCCTGGATGAGGGCAAACTTTCTACAGTTGAACGTCAACAAGACCGAGGCTCCTGATTGGCTCCCGTCAGCGCCTCCTCACCTCAGGCCCTGACAGCATCACCATCCCTGGGGCTCACTCCCCCTCACTGCGCCAGTCCCGAACCTTGGAGTCTGGTTTGACCCTCAACTATCCTTTCTACCCCCACATCTGCCCCATGACCCGCTCTGCCTTCCCCACCCCCGCAACATGGCCCGACTTCCCCACTGTCTCACACCGCAGCCCCCGAGACCCTCACACACATACCTTCATGGCTTGGGGTCGGGCTCTGCCACTGTCACGCTACCCTGCGTGAGGGGCGCTGTGTAAATGCAAGTTGTTGTTGAGACATCTTAAAGCGCTTCACAGAATACACTGTAAAGTTTTGTGGGCGAAACGCAGCAGCCAACTGCGCAAAGCGACGACGTCCACACAATTAGTCGTGGTTTGAGTGACCAAATTATTGTTATTTATTTTATTGTTATTGAAGGGATTATGATCCCCACTAGTTACCCAAATACTG